GATTATTGTTATGTATATTTCTGTATTGTTTATAGTCAATTTCCATGATTCAGGTATGATATAGAAAATATATCGAAGATCCATATATATACCTCTAATACCAAATTTGAGCTTCAGATCTTCAAGAGGCATAAAACCATCTTCATTACAAAGGTCCTTAATTGTTACAATTCCATTTTTAGCCCAATGCCTGATAAATTGATGTGGGGTTTTGAAATTATTATTCAGCCATAAAGGTGCTGCTCAAATTCCTTTAATATTGTCTGCTTCTATGGTATTCTTATTACAGTATAATTTCCATGCCAATAAAACATTATTATCAATATAAGGATTATCACTTTCAACAATATTCTGAAAATTTGCTTCATATTTTAGTATATCATTTAATGGAAAATTGCATGGATTACTCATATTTGTTTTTCTCAAATAGAGTCTGAGTGTAGATAATTTCATGGCATTAACAAAGGTTTTAATATCTGTCATGCGTAAACCCCCTTCTGTATAATTCTTTTTCAAAGTGCTCCGTTTAATTTTATCATTTTGTCATTCCAAATAAATCTGAAAAATAGAGTCTCAAGGGAAGTGATAAATTCATCAGGTGGGTTAGGTAAAGAATTGAAAATGTGAACCAGTTTTGAAAGAGCCAAAGTTTTAATTACAGTGATTTTGCCAATCAGTGTGAGATGTCTTTTACTCCATGTTGCCAATAATCTATTAATTTCCTCAAGTCTTTTTCTTGTGTTGATAACCCATAAGTCATTCAAATCAGGTGTGAAATTAATACCCAAAACTTCAAATTCCTTTCTTTGCCATTCTATATTCAAATCTTGACAAATCATATCTCTGCTACCTGCATTTGAACCTATCTAGATTGCTTTAGTCTTATCTGTATTTATCCTTAACCCTGACATATTGTAAAAAGTATTAATGGTATCAATAGCAGCATACAAACTTTCCTCTGAGCCATCCAAAAATAATTCAGTATCATCAGCATATTGTCCTAATTTATATTCCTGAACACCAATTACAATACCCTTTATATCATCATTTTGTCTTATCATACATCCAAGGATTTCAGCTACAAAAAGAAACAAATATGGCGATATGGGATCACCTTGCCTGCAACCCCGCTCATTAGGGAAGAAATCAGAGAGATGTCCATTCTGAATAACACATGACGTTGTATCATAAGTTAATAGATTAATCCAGCGTATAATCTGTGGCCCAAAACCAAATTTTAGTAAAACAGAGTTGATAAAATCTTTAGAAAATGTGTCAAAGGCTTTTTCGAAGTCAATTAAAATCAGCAGACCAGGGATATCAGGCATGAGTTACTGAAGATCAATTCTTACCCGGATCTTCACGGGTCCAGCGCCGGACAATAACAGACATTGATTATCCGGCCCTAATTTGTTTGTTTGTTTGTTGTTTAACGCCGCACTCAGCAATATTCCAGGTATATGGCAGCGGCCTGTAAATAATTGTGTCTGGACCAGACAATCCAGTGATCAACAGCATGAGCATCGATCTACACAATTGCCCGCCGAAATTGGACTTAAAAGCCCAAAAGCGGTAAAATATATATGACTGAGTGAATGAGTTTTACATCGCTTTTAGCAATATTCCAGCAATATCACGGTGGGGACACCAGAAATGGGCTTCACACATTGTACCGATGTGGGGAATCGAACCAGGGTCTTCGGCGTGACGAGCGAACGCTTTAACCACTAGGATACCTCACTGCCCCCCAAAATATATGAATGGATGGCAGAAAACCAGTGCTGACACGAAAGATTGCCAAGGTAAAACAATATGCAAGGTTTCTTACAATAATGAAATGATATATTGACGTAAAGGTGTACAACTTCAGTAACTCATGGTCTTACTCAGTAAGGGTTTTAGCACTAGAAAAATCCCCGATAGAGTATAAACGTTATGCCCCCTTTATTCGAATAGAACCCGGTCGTTTAGTGTAACAGGTGATTATTTCCACCACAAAGCGTCCCACACTCTCTAGAGGGGGATACCATGCATGTATATTAGTACATTATAATATGTCCTTCGCATGTGTGCTTCAGTACTGTCAAAGGCATTTGATCCTCACTATTGGGTGAGTGAGTGAGTATGGTTTTACGCCGCCTTTAGCAATAGTCCAGCAATATCAAGGCTGGGGAAACCAGAAATGGAGCTTAACACATTGTACCATGTGGGGAATCGAACCCGGGTCTTCGGCGTGACGAGCCAACGCCTTAAACACTAGGCTACCCCACCGCCCCTCTTTACTAGTTACTTGACCCTGTACATAACAAAATTAAAGATATAATTTAACAGAATAACTGATCTCCTATTCATTTTAAATGATTTGGATGCCAAGTCAAAACATTGATTCCACAACAGTCTCGTTTCCAGCTGACTGGGTTCCGTCTTATTGCGCAACTTCGTACAATAACCAATCCAGAATTTTGAGAGCAATTCATTCAACTTGATACATAAATATTAATCAGTATTATTTGATACATCTAACCACTTGTATATCGCAACACTACTTGCAAACACGTCGTGCAGCGTGCTCTGTCGTACAGCATGCTCTGACAAACGGAAATCTGGAAATCGTGATAATCTCAAAACGAGGCTCTGCCGCTAGAAATGTTTGGTGTCCGGTACGGACTTGGTATTATATCAATCACATTGTGCGTTACAGAACGACACTGAATAAGCGCAAAGAACACATAACAGGTGTAACCAGTGAGCCAGATGAATTGTGAATCATTTTACGACCTCATCAAACAGGGGCAGTCTGTGACGTCTTAGTTAATGCCATACTGCCTACACCTCGCCATAAAATATAGAAATACGATGTTATTAAAGTTGTAAAATTAAAATTAACTTGTAAATACCATTTTCTTATGGAAACAAGGGATTGGAATTCAGTGTAACCATAGTTGTTTGTGGTGTCTCTTTTCACTTTCACACGAGAAAATTCGGATCTGGCTGAAAAGTAGGTCATTGTCTGAATAGGTCAATGAGACTCATGTTTTGGTTTGTCATGGATAATCATACGGTCTTACTGAAACTATTGAAGACCTGGAGTGGCACCTTGAGCTGTACATATCATATTTGAAATTCCTTCAACAATTTTCAGTGATACAACATATTAATTGAACGAGGGGCGGTGTGGTAGCCTAGTGGTTAAAGCGTCCGCTCGCCACACTGAGGACCCAGGTTCGATTCCCCACATTCTGGTTTCCCCTGTCGTGATATTGGTGGAATATTGATAAAGCAGCGTAAAACCAAACTCACTCACTATTGATAGAAGGTATCTCCTTCAACAGACACATAGTTCGATTAATGCATTGTAGCTTTGTTTAGTTCGATTTGTTTTGGTGGGTTTTTTTCAGTTTAAAGGTTTATTTGTCTTTGCGTGTGTTTGGGATGGATGTCAATGACCCTGATTCGATATCCCTCATGGGTACAATGCGTGAAACCCATTTCTGGTGTCCCCAGCCGTGATATTGCTGGAATATTGCTAAAAGCGGAATGAAAAATTCACAAACTCAGTCAGTCATTCGCTACAATTATGAACATTGTTTTGTTTTGTTATTTACAAAAGGTCTGCAACCAAGCCGGTTGAAAGAGATCGCTCGGTGGCAACCTGTAATTCCTACTGTTGACAGTAATTGGCCACAACAATACGTATAGCATTACCTAAGGCAGGGTTAGTCTATAAATAGCCACAACCCGGACTAACAGCCAGTTGCAACGACAGTCGTGATCACCGAACGGCATATAAACCAAAATACTAATAGATCAAGTTAATAATATCAAATGATGAAAATATCTCAAAGAAATAAGAATCCGGGGGCTAAGATATATAATTGAAACAACACAACACTCACGGGTTAGGTAGATCTCGGAGACGGGAGAACTCTTGTCTCTATGGTGACGTCAATACCGCAACGACAACGGTTACGGTAGACTGGACAACCGAGACGCTATCGCCGCGGCGTCGGCTGTTCATTACAGTCAGACAATACTTCTTTATTTTATGCTTATAGTTATTTTGTTAACCATTATTTCGGATGAGTGGAAATCGAAATATACAAATAGTTGTTTAGCTCCATGTGTCATGTGACAAAGTAAACTGCCGGTAAAAGATGGTATATGTCTTCACACATATCGACTGGTGGAATCGAACCCGGGTCTTCGGAGTCCCGCCCTATTTGATACAGGCATCACAAGCGATATTACATGTATCAGATGAATAATCATCTCAGAGCAACTGGTTGTGCTCAGCGCAACGTGTAAACTTTTAGGGTCAACTGTATTTTAAACTACACTGTAGTCGAGTTTTCAGAAACTATAGAACGTATACTTAAATATTACGTTTTGTACAAGTATTTACTTCTGTTGGCGAAGGTTATTTTATTTTTATTATTATTTTATTACATGAATTATATTAACGATGTGCATTCAAAATATTATGTATTATTTCTTACAGTTGAAACTGTTGGTTTCTTCCCGTAAATCCACCAAACACTTAGCTGTGAAAAATAATATTTTTACCAATTTGTGGAATTTAGCCCCTGATTCAAATCCGGAACACGAAAATATAAAAATACTGGCTGACCGATTACCTGGCATAAACAGACACCAACATCAGTTTACGACTGACTGATCTGATTATAAAACGGGTGTACATATTAGGACCTGGGGCCGTATATATAAAGATTCTTAAGCACTCTAAGAATTTTTATAAATAATATCCCTGGTTTTATCCGGCGAAATCTGCTTGTCGTATAATAGAGATTTGTATTGTAAGGCGTTGTCGTTCCATATTTCCTCTCTCTAGCTCTCTCTCTCTCTCACACACACGCGCGCGCACGCACTCACACACGCACACATCTCATGATCACAATCAAAATCATAGTGGAACTTTTTCCTCTCAAGAACGAAGTAGACCAGTGAATCTCAGGATTAAAGTATAGTGCAGGTCCACTTACCTGCAACTGCTCACAGGCCAAGCTCAAGTCCCGTTAGAAATTATCCATACAATCAATCTCCACAATGAACGTCTAGGGGTGGAGGTGAAGTTGGGGTTCGCAGATACCACTCACCAGATGCTGAAGTAACACCCAAGTCTATCACATGACACTTACTTTCTAACGTCTTTTCAGCAGTATGCCATATTCACACACACAATTATGCAATATCTGTAACTCGCTCCTGGAGAATAACCGTCACGCAGTAATACGTTCTATTTTTATTTGAATCGTGGCAGGACTAGGAATTGATCATGTCATCGTGAAATGCAAGATAATACTTTATGTACACCCCCTGCTGTCAGCATGATGATATACTGTATATTGTCCACCCTGCCATGGGATAATATTTCAGTCGAGCAACCACTTTCAAATGCCAACATTACCACCTTGTGTAAGGGTCGTTCTTGGTGTCCACCTGGGTGACGTTGTTAAAACAAGAGTCATCAGAAGATGACATATCCCCACGGCCCCCACATCTTTGAAAGAACAAATCATCGGACAGTAACTTAAAGTCCAGCTTGATTTTAGACTAAGTGCAAATCGTTTCCATGGAAATCATGAAAAAAATAAATGACAAAAATCTGCAAATAGCAAAAGGCACCACTTTGGGATCTGCCTCACATATCTGCCAAGTTTTGTTGAAATATATTAATAGGTTTTCGCGTTGTGCTCCGGAAACAAAACCTACCCCTCCCTTTTGAGACTAAGTCCAAATTGTTTCAATGGAAACTGAGAAAATAATAAATCACAAATATCTGCAAATAGCAAAAGGCACCACTTTGGGATCTGCCTTACATATCTGCCAAGTTTTGCTGAAAGATATAGAGAAGTTTTCGAGTTGTGCTCCGGAAACGAAGCCCACCCCTCACTTTTGGGACTAAGTCCGAATCGTTTCCATGGAAACCGGGAAAAATAAAAATGCCAAAAATCTGCAAATAGCAAAAGGCACAACTGTAGGATGTGTTTGATATATCTACCAAGTTTTGTTGAAAAATATTATACGGTTTTTGAGTTGTGCTCCGGAAACGAAAGCAATCCTTACTTTTTGAGACTAAGTCCAAAATGTTTCCATGGATACCGGGAAAAATAAAAATGCCAAAAATCTGCAAATAGCAAAAGGCACCACTTAAGGATCTGTTTCATACATCTATCAAGTTTTGTTGAAAAATATTGAACGGTTCTTGAGTTATGCTCCGGAAACGAAGCCCACCCCTCACTTTTGGGACTAAGTCCGAATCGTTTCCATGGAAACCGAGAAAAGTAAAAATGCTAAAAATCTGTAAATAGCAAAAGGCACCACTTTAGGATCTGTTTGATATATCTTCCAAGTTTTGTTGAAAAATATTGAACGGTTCTTGAATTATGCTCCGGAAACGAAGCCCACCCTTCTTTAAGACTAAGTCCAAAACGTTTCCATGGAAACCGAGAAAAATAAAAATGACAATAATCTGTAAATAGCAAAAGGCACCACCTTAGGTTATGTTTGACATATCTACCAATTTTGGTTAAAAAATATCGAACAGTCTTTGGGTTATGCTCCGGAAACAAAATGATTACGGACGGACGGACGGACAGACGGACGAGGCGACGACTATATCCCACCGCATTACATGCCGGTGGGATAATGATGAGAAAGCATACACGTTTTAATACAACCAACTTCTTGATGGAAAGTCAAATGGGGTAGTTTTGTTTTATCGGTAGCGAGGACAAAAATAGAGAATTTTGCATACTGTTTTCACCTGATTAATGTCAGTATTTATATCTTTTGCTTTGGGACAAGACAGGAGACTAGTCAAATTCAATTGGTACCAATTGCGTCATAATCAAAGGGCGGTAATTCTGACCTGTTTAGCTCTACAAACAAAGGTCTGACAATGACATAACATTTCAGCACTTATATTGAGGGTTATTCTTTCATCATAAAAAAACAACAGAGTGTATATTTTCACACACTGATAAAAACTAACTAAACAAATTAATTTTGTTTCACGTAAGAATAAACGTGATATTTTCGTGTACACTTCTCCTTCAAGCATTCTCATGTCGAGGTCTCTATTTCTCCTGATTTGACTTCAACGAGTGAGTCGTGCTTTAACGTTGCTTGGTACTGTGTTCCTGTTAAAATATGATGTGCCTGTTTGTCTAGGGAGGAAGGCCCGAGGTGATGCAGTTCTCAGATGCTTACCTCTTTAATTATACCAAGGGGCAAGAGTAAGGTGCTGGACAAAAAGAAACGATGCGGATTCGAACCCACGATCAAAGGGTTCTGGCCAGCCCCAGTGACGCAACTCTGAATGGCGAATTCTATAATTCCACTCTATGAGTAAACACAATGGAACTTCGTTTGAGAGGAATAAAGATCCGGTTCATATTTTTTCAGGTTGTGATTGGCATTCCAGAGGTTTCGTGAATAACAACAATGGCAAAATCCACGACAACTTCTTTATTATATCATATCGTACCTAAACAACGGGAGGCAACAGAAATGGGCTTCGATTTGAAGTAATTGTACTTAAAAACTGGAGAATCGAAATCCGAAGGGAATATATCTTTGAAATGGCGTGAGTGAGAGGTTTTACTTTTAGCACCAGTAATATCATGGCGGGACAACAGTGAGTGAGTGAGTTAAGATTTAAAGAACACCGCCCCATATCGTGACTAGGGAGGATTGAATGGGCTTCACACATTGTGAGATGAACCCGGGTGAAGAGGACACTTTAATGAAGTCAACGGATTGGAAATGCAATTTACGCCGCTTTCGGCCACGAATCCCAAATGGGCTTAACACATCTATATTTGGGATAATTGATGAAATATAACGACATCATATTTNGCCTGTCTGCATCACAATGTATCATAAAGCTATAAAGATAAGAACGCCCGATGAGGGGAACTGTAATGAAGAACAAATATAGTAGGTAGCAAATTTGAAATCATGATACTGCATTAAATGAAATTATCTCATGTAACAGGCTGTTTTATTTGCAGTTAAGTTGCCTGTATTTTACTGGGTTACCTGTAGATTTAGCCTTGCAAAATTCAATTTGGGATGAACACTCGCAAGTTTATGGCGAGGTACAATAAATTAGGAACGTTTATTGTCTTAATGCTAGGAGGGGCCCTCAAAAGGTGCTCAAACTAATCTAGACGAAGAACAGTAACATTAAGAGGAGAGACAAACCTCCAAGCTACCCGTTGACCGAGTTTGGTTTTACTGCTACGTCAACATGATCATGTATCCCAGTTTTGACACAGCTTATCTACAGATTATCGAGAGCCTAAACTGACCAAGGACCCATACCACTAGAGGTGAGGTGAAGTGAAATTGGGTTTAACGTCGTACTTGAGAATATTTCGCTCATATGACGACGTGCATGCGTGTGTATGTGTATGTGCGGCTGCTTGTACTAGCCCAGACTTAAGCTGGTTTTATAGTGCTAGCCCAGACTGAGATACCATGCCGCAGTGAAGCATGAATACCCCACTCAGACACATTATACTGACTCCGAGCCGACCAGTCCTTGTTGTACCCATTCATGCCGAGCGCCAGGCAGGGACCAACAAGTACCATATTTTAACGTCTTTTGGTATGACGCGGTCGGGGATCGAACCCGCGACCTTCCGCTCTCCGGGCGGACGCTCTAACCACTACACGACGGAGGCTGTCCCATACCACTAGAGAATAGTGTTTAGTTAAACAAAACGGATTAATAACATACAGGTAGTCATCCAACCAGCACAGGGTTCATTATGAGGCAAATTGCAAGTCTGGACCAGACAATCCAAAGTTTGATATTATGAGTATCAATATATTTTTGTTTGTTTGTTGTTTAACTCCACATTCAGCAATATTCCAGCTATATGGCGACAATCTGTATATAATCAAGTCTGGACCAGACAATCCAGTGATCAACATCATGAGCATTGACCTACACAATTTGGATACGATGACATGTGTCAACCAAGTCAGCGATCCTGACCACCCGTTAGTCCCCTCTTATGACAAGCATGGGTAGCTAAAGTGAGTGAGTTTAGTTTTACACAGCTCTCAGCAATATTCCAGCTATATGGCGGCGGTCTGTAAATAATCGAGTCTGGACCAGACAATCCAGTGATCAACAACATGAGCATCGATCTGCGCAATTGGGAACCGATGACATGTGTCAACCAAGACCACCCGATCCCGTTAGTCGCCTCTTACGACCAGCATGGGTTTCTGAAGAGCATCAAAGTTGGATACAGAGACAATCTGTATACAGAGGCATTCAGTCACTTGTTACGAGCGTAGGTTGCTCAGGAACTAAACCCATAATATCTAGTATCTTCCTATATTCTTACTAAAACATTCCATTGGTCAATGATAAATAATATGAGTGGGTTTTTTGAACAGTATTCTGTATTCAAGTTTAAATAACATGGACTAAAATTCCAATCATTTTGACAACAAAACACTCATCCTTCAGAGAAATCTCGCCATTCTTGTTATTAGATCAACTGAACAAGACTTTATTCTGAGAGAAAAATGACAATGAATTTACAATATGAAATGTTTTTATTTGATAGTGTAACAAGCCATCTTAACATTGGCAAAAAGGTACACACACTTTTGTATTGTCAGGTTTCTGAAACATTGTATTACTTCATAGCATTCATATAGCTATAGCTCCATGTCTATTGTAATGAAACCATATGTTTTTAGTGAAATATACAATGTACAATATCCTTCGTCCCAAACCTGTTCAATTTGGAGTTGAATGGAGGCTGTTGAGAACCATGATAAATGTCACAAGAATTATAAACTCAGGTAGATGATAATACAAATGTTAACACCTGAGATTATATTTTGATAAAAATGACAGGTGAGGAAGTATTCCGTGAAATACATGATAAAATGTGTTCACTCATCATACTGATAAAAATTTAATTTATGATGTAATAATTGTGTTGTTTCTCTTTTTTGCTGCAATATACAGAGCAGAGTTGAGGTTTTCTGAAAAAACACAAATTCAGGTAAAAATATTAGGTACCATGAAAAAATTAACAAAGATAACAACTGCCACTCCATGTGATGTCTGAAAGGGCTGATCAATGTATCAGTTGATACCACTCAAATAAGCACAAGAAGTCTGTCACTTAGGCACATTTGATTTTCAACTGCATATTGCAAACCTTTTTGAATGTGTTCTGTGTAGCTATCCCTTGATGGTCACACACCCATCCAACCCCATCCCAACCCCCCCCACTCAGTGCTGACCACCCACACAACACTGCCCCCCTCAAACCCAACTGTAATCTCTTCCATCTCTCACACAGTGCCACACCTTCCAGTCACTGCACCCCAACCCCCGACAATGGTCCCTTCACACAGCCCCATCCCTCAATCAGCACTGCTGTATACAGCCACCCCTATGACACTGTGGTTCCATAAACTTATCATAACCACTCCATCCCTCACAGAGCACTGCCCCAACACAGCACTGTCCCTCCCAGCCTCTTTCTCCTTGCCCAAGATAAAAGATAAGTGTTATGACTTGGGCTTGGTCTCCTGGTCGCTGACGTTGCGGATGTAGATGTCATCCTCCTGTTTGGTGTCGGGCTCGTCTTGCTCGTACATGTAGGATGAAGCGATAGCCAGGACAGACCCATCACTGCTGAATGACAGGGAGGCGATGCTGGTCGGATATCTGGACAAACAAAGGAGATCTTAGTTAGACGAGATGTTTTCGTTGCTTAATGCTCAGAAATATTTCTGATGTATGACAGTGATCTGTAGTGAGCAACCATTAATGCTGCTTGGAACAGTATTCCTGTTATATCACCATGTGTCAGCTTAATGTGGAGGGGAAAACAATAAGTGATGCATGTTTCCGAAGTTCACCACTTGCTGAAAACCACGGGTATGGGGTGAGTGAGTGAGTGAGTGAGTTTAGTTTTACCCTGCACTCAGCAATATTCCAGCTTTATGGCAGCAGTCTGTAAATAGTTGAGTCTGGACCAGACAAACCAGTGCTCAACGTCATAAGCCTTGACCTACACAATTGGGATACAATGACATGTGTCAACCAAGTCAGCGATCCTGACCACCTGATCCCATTAGTCACCTCTTACGACAAACATGGGTTACTGAAGATCAATTCTAACCTGGATCTTCACGGGTATAGTGCTGACAAACTTGGGAACATATTCAGAGTGAAAAGTTGGTTTTGTTTGTTTGTTGTGTAATGCCACACTCAGCAATATTCCAGCTATATGATGCAATCTGTCTAGTCTAGACCAGATAATCCAGAGACTGACACGAAAGGGATTTGAACCCACTGTCATAGGTTTTGGGTGTACACAAGGGATGTAACTCTGTAAGTAAATTGCAGTGCCTTAGACAACAGTACCATCCATGTTCCCCTATGGCTATCTGTAAATAATTGAGTCTTGACCAGACAAGCAAGTGAGCGACATCATGAGCATCGACCCATGCAATTTGAATACAGCCTGACAAGCAAAACACAATAACAATTGTTGCCTCTTACAATAAGCATACATTGCTGGCGACCTACATATTTTTACACAGAATTTCCACTGGTACACAAAATGAGCCAAGGCTGAATATTTAAATTAATCGAAACAGTCGTCACTGGGAATCCTGGGATCGTTGGAAGATTATCTGTCAGCGCATTCTGACAAAACAAACAATTCAAGGCTTTAACTAAATTATGAACATAGCTCTCCTATGGTTACTTTCAAGATGATGATAACTACTGATCTCTGTGTAAATGAACAGGGTGTCACATGTTTTCAGAGGATGACAGCAACGCCACATGACTGATGACAATAGGAGCACAGCAATGTGGGGAATGAAACATATATACCACACAACAAGTGAATGCTGAAACCACTATTCTATCCCAACATCAATATCGCTGGGTCTGCCAATGCAAATTATTTTCCATTAGACATGTTTCTGTTCATTTACTGTTTAACACAAGCTCCATTCGTCTCACCTGTGGAACTGACACAGTCTCTTCTTGTTAAAACCGTCCCAGATGTTGACATAGCCGTCTGAACCACCTGTGGCAAAGGTGTTGTAGACACTGTGGAAGGCGATGGCGTTGACAGGGTAGATGAGCTCAGCCCCACCTTCCTTGATACGGTGACACTTAAAGGCATATTTCTTTTTTCTGGATCTCTGGACTGGGGTCAAGGTATTCCACAGCTACGCGACCTGAAAATAACGGTAAATTAGGTACTGTAAAGTGTACAGGTAAGCAATTTGCAGTTTTCAAATTTGCAACAGAAAGAAAAAACTTGTTATGATAAACACATACATTGTTTGTTGCAGTTTTTGCTGATATTTACATTATGCCAGGACATGTGAAGATCCAGGTTAGAATTGGCCTTCAGCCACCCATGCTTGTAGTGAGTGAGTGAGTGAGAGTGTGCATGCGTGACTGAGTGAGTTTTAGTGTTACTCTGCTATTAGCAATATTCCAGCAATATCACAACTGGGGACACCAGAAAATGCTTGTTGTAAGAGGCTACTCATAAGATCTACTGGCCAAACTCCCTGACTTGGTTGACACGAGTCACCATACCTCAACTGATGCTGATCACTGGATTGTCTGGTCCAGGCTCAATAATTTACAAACTGCCACAATATAGCTGAAATATTGCCGAGTGTGGCGTTAAACAACAAACAAACAAAACATCATTCCAGATCCCACTAACCTTCAATTGAACTGAGGACATAGCCCTGTTTGTTTGGGAAGGTCCTGATACAACGAGTCTGGTACTTGAGACTAGACTCTCGTCTCTGCTGTACGTAGCCCATGTTCCGCAGATCCCACACAAGGATCTTCCTTCCTGCTGTCCCAACCACCAACCGATCCCCACACACAGACATTGTGTACACCTGCAGCAGAGGAGTTACACCACAGGTTGAAAAATATATGTGTTCAAAATAGCCAGGAAGCAGCCATTTCTAAACTGCCAAAGTACAGGTATAATTTAATGTAGCAAATAAAACAAGGCACTATACAAGGATTACTCTTTAGAGTGTTTGTTTTGTGACATATATTAAATGATAATGTTGTGCTGCTGACAAACTGAATGAGAACTCTGCTTTGAACTGTTAAAGCCATGTTTTCTCTCAGCCTTCACTTAATGTCTATCTCATCTAATCTTTTCTTAAAATATACCAAATGATTATGCAACATCTCTCTTGTATGCTTGCATGTAAGTATTAATGAGAAAGAATGCATGCCTTCAAACCTCTATTTAAGCATATTCAATGACTTGGGATGAAGAGTGGGATATTAGTGTCCTACATGTCCCAGTGAGTACTGGTAAGTCTCATGGAGTAATGAGATACCTACCGTATATTACCATAGATTAGCCGACCCCATAACACGACCCTAGTCAAGTGATGTTTAATTGCAAATTTGACATCTTCAATGAAAAAGTCATTTTCTCTCATTCGGTCATGTGAAATGATAAGATGTCGTTTTCTTACTGCTGGTCACCAGAACAAAAGTTTAATGAAAGTGTTACCCATAGATAAGCTGACCGCCTTCTACAGGCTGCTTTTTAGGTCTTCAAAATTCGGCTTATCTACGGTAATATACAGCAGATACTAAGGCTGCTACGATTTTCCTGCATATTTGGTGAATCAAATCATATCCCTTCATGAACTGGATTCATTATTCGTGATCACTAGAATCGAACATCCATGAATTTATTAAAAAGGTATATTTTTACTATAATTTGGGAGTTATTTATCAAAGCGAGATATGCACAATGGAATACATCCAAGCCAGGTAGAATAATAGTCAACACTCCATATGATTAATTTGACATCACTGTTGTCACAGGTTACTGTTGAGATAAATTAACACTGTCAACATGGTCAAACCACATCAAAGAATTACTTCGTTATTGTTTCATTAAATATAATGAATAATTCATCAACTACTGACCTGTTACTGTATTTATAACCCAACATTCATATTCGCTGCCCGCATATGTGATATACAGTGAAACCCAGAGCTCCAGATAAGATTTAGCTCATGTGGGTACTATACCCACTGTATTTTTTTTGAGTGGGTATTATGAATGTTGAGTGGGTATTTCATTTTCCGTTACCCACTATTTTCAAATATTTGCGTATTTCAGTCATTTTACTCACCTAAGTATATGTCATTGAGTAAGTTTACTAAGCAGGTATGTTCTGCCTTATGTCATACCTAATCAAAACCAACTTTAATATAATGGAAATGATTTCATAAAAAATCATTCATCCTATACTGACAGTACAACACTTGTCCTATACTAACAGTACAACTTGATAGCAATCGATGTCTTTTTTATTACGCGAGCGATTTTTATAAATATATTCTGTACGCATTTGTTTTAAACTTTTTGCGTATCTAACATTTTAAATGCGTAATTGGTACGCAATAATTATTTTTTCAATGCGTAATTGGAATTTTTCTATGGGTATTTTACCCGGATACGCAGCTTATCTGGGCCTCTGGTGAAACCTGTCTAAACCGGCACCCCACAGGACCGAAATAAAATGCTGGTTTAGACAGGGTGCCGGATTAGACAGTGACGATCATTTTCCAACATGGCTGCCATTTACACTCGACAATCTCTCAATCTAGTGTGCCGAGAGGTGTGTATTGAATTAAGGGACCTTGCTTGTACTGCTCATACCCATGCTGGCTTAGAGCGTTTGATTCATCGCGCAATCACTACTTCCTGATTATTTAGCGTGATAAGAGGATTAATTAGTGTATTGGATTATGGGTCCTTGATTGGACTGTGGGTTTAGACAGTGTTAATTACAGTTAAAAGTGCTTGTTGGGACTGGAGAGTCGTGCCAGAATACGATGATCATAACATCGTTGTAAAAAATGGTGGGACCATATTTTTATGCCAGTTTTGACAGTGTGCTGGATTACACAGGTGCCGGCGTTGGCAGGTTTCACTGTATATCATATTTGCCTCATAGTGGATTTGCTGCAGCCTTACTAGGTAATTTGGATAAGTACAATGATCTTGTGAGTTAACTTTTCAGTTGTTACAATCCTGTCCATCATGATACTGTTAACAAGCTAGTAATAATAAATTATTGACAAACTATGCATGATATAGCTGTTAAATCAGTGGAGATAGTGGACAAAATAAAAATTGTTTTCAAGATTTTCTTCTTTCAATGAGACATTTTTGTACAAGAACTTAGAACTTCTAAAAGGCCACATAAAAGATTTTGTCTCTTCAAAGTTATCTCCCATCTATAGGCATCATTTCGCTTTACTTTCACAAGACTAATAAAACACAGAGCTGAATGAGACACACTTTACAGATATGCCATAGAAAGCATCATTATATGAAGCTAATTTTGTTCATAATCAGCTGATAATGATTTCCCTGGAATGTTAACGATTAACAAATGTTAACCTACTTTCTCCATCATTTAATTACCTTGTCAGGTTGGGAGAAGGAGCCTGCACAGCATGGTGTGCGTGGGTCCCATAGTTTGACTGTTGAGTCCCAGCTGCCAGTGATCACAACGTTGACTTCATTGCAGAACTCCACACAGCGGATTGGAGCTTCATGGTTCCCGACATTGGTCTCTGTCAATCAGATACAAATCATCTAAACATTGTTACATTTTATAACTCCAAGCAGCAAACTGGAGCTTCATGGCTCAGGACTATGTTGACCAGATGCAAATCGTCTAATCACTGTGATACTGTAGAACATAACACAGAGAAGAGATTGAGTGTGTGTGCGAATGAGTGAGTGAGTCTATGTGCACCTACAAACAGTATTGCAGTTACATCATGGCATGTCGTTATTAAATCGGTTCATGTGAGGGAAAGTCTTATTACACTACATCTGTATTACCTGTTGTGGCGTTGAAGTCAAACATCTTGAGAGTATTGTCAAGTCCTCCACTGTATGCATGAACGGTGTCCTGAAAATGTAAAATAGGACATGTTTACAACCTAACAATCCTATATGTAAGATGCAATCATACAGAGACATACATCATGTACATATATAAATATGTGCAATTACAGTTTTGATTAAAAAATATTCTCAATACATGACAGCGGATTGTAAAAAAATCATGTCTCAAGAGTGAGTGAGTGAGTGACTTTAGTTTTACGCCGCACTCAGCAATATTCCAGCTATATGGCGGCGGTCTGTAAATAATCGAATCTGGACCAGACAATCCAGTGATCAACAGCATGAGCATCAATCTGCGCAATTGGGAACCGATGACATGTGACAACTAAGTCAGCTGAAACTTGACCACCGATCCCGTTAGTGATACAAGATAGTCGCCTTTTTATGGCAAGCACATGGGTTGCTGAAGACCTATTCAACCCCGGATCTTCACGGGTCTCATGTCTCAAGAAGACAAACGACTTTCTTGATCATGTTGATACTGAAAGCAACATCAGTTATTGCTGTACAACCAACCAAGTCATCCAGCCCGATAACAAGATCCTCCATTATGATTAGGGCTGCGCAATATAACCGGTTTACCGGTATTTACAGGTTCAGACATGAAAACGATACGTATTGCGATATGCTGGTTGAAAACCGGTATTTTGACTTGCATTCGGAAAACTTCGTAACACTCGGAAATCTTTGGATATTTCCTTGTTTTATTTGTGCCAAATATTATTCACATTTTTATTTTATCATGATTAAAAGTTGTTATTAAAGCTTAATCAAGCATAGTGATTTTGTTGTGTTTTTGCTCTATAAATCAAGCATAAACTCGCTTGTAAGTAGTTTTTTGTTAAAAAATACTTCAGGCAATATATTGCAAAACATATCGCAATACATGCTTTCGCATCGCAATATATTGCAATGTGAAAATTCTGTGCAATACCCACCCCTAATTATGACCACACATACCTATATCAGGACCAACTTTGTCACGTTCATTCACATGTAATTTTTCATGGGGTAAGAAAACAAGAAACATCATACTTCATTACTCATTACTACAGTGGGAAGTAATTGAATAAATCTACTCTCATAATGTCACATCATCAACATGTTAGTAACATGTGTAACGAATACCTTAAACATATGAAATGTCACAGTGGTCCCTTTGAAAACTCCCTCTACAGAACTCCGCTTTTATTTTTTTTAAGCAAGCGGGAGCAAAAACATGGAAGTGCATATAAATGAACGATGAATATCTGGTGTACTGGTATCTTGTAAAACTTATATATTGCCATCTTTTTGGTGTAGTGCTTGCTTGAAAATAATTATGTGATCATCTTGAGTTGGGCAGTTTATCTATGGCACATAATGTTCAATGACTGAACACAACTGTCATAACCAGTAGAGGACGTAACGTGTACGCGAGACGGTCCCCCGTTACCATGATAACACGCTGAATATTCACTTTATATGCATCTGCAGAACCTGTATCAGTTTGAACATGTTGATCATGTTGATGCTTTGGAAAAGATGCTAAGTTATATCATCAGTGTCATGGGAGAGATCGTGTATATTGTATTGATTCTTTTTTCATTGTGTTAGTAATATAAGGCACAGATGAAACATGTGTCTTGCCTTATTTATGTAAGGAATACCTTGTCCTACCAAATATTTAATTTTTATTCTATCATGTCTTGGTGAGTATGTTTAAGGTAATGAATAGAAGCTGCCACAAATTTTAATCTCCATGCCTGTATTTGTAAACTTGTGTGCTTAATTATAAAGGTCAGACAACTTACTTGAAAACAACAGTCCAGTACAGGTGCAGTGTGACCATACTGCATTCTCATATTGTCAGTGACAATGTCGTACAGCCTGACACTGGTGTCCCATGATGACACCAGCAGAAACTGATTTGTGTTGGGGCCGAACTTGACTGCAGAAATTCCATCTTCTGGCGAATTTTTCAACTTGAACTCATTTGGTGTCTCCCCCATTGTTCACTTCATTCACTGAAAATGAAGCAGAGAGGATTCAAATATAACAGTCAGACAAGAACTACTTTCTCTGCGAACAGCAATGTTTCTGGTCACTCTTTCTATAGATATTCTACATATATCCCCATGAAAATGATTTTTGAGCCTCATCTCAACAATCACTCATTACAGTCATATTCATAATCTTTGCTGATCTCTTTTTCGTGTTTTTTATTCCCCGCCTCTGTTTTGCCACCTATAGCATGTGGGAAAACAAAACATTGGCAGATAACCCAATCTGAGCATGAACGAAAATATAAAGAATACAAACACGAAATTGAAAATGCGCGAAAACTGTAAACATTATTCTGAGATTGAGAATCTTCTGAAACAAAGTCGAGTCATTTTATATCGTTAAATGAAACTGTTTGGACGCAAACAAATCTGAAGGAAATGAAATTATTTAAGCTTCATAGAGTGAAAAATGCATACCAACAAAAGTAAAGCGTCAATACCGTTGATCTACCGCTTTGCTAACGCTGCTCGCGGGTTTATTTTGCACTAAACCGGAAGTAGTCGTATTCGTAAGTACTCGTTGTCAGACAATGATAATCACTCATGACAAACGTTATGCGAACAAGATTAAACACCAGCATGAATGCCGTATGGGATATCAGAGACCATATAACGGTATATGGTCTCTGGGGATATCTAAAGTTTTATGAGATGTATATATGTAATATGTGCTGTTCAAATATTTCGGAAACACAAATATAGATAGACGTCCGATAAACGAGATGATTGAGCATGACCCCTGTGTGGTTAGATTCCTATGTTGCGTTTCACTTATTTCGTATTCACAACATTCAAAGGACAACATTCAAAACGGAAAATAACATCTCTGTCAAAATTGATCAAGATAGCCATGTAACACAACCAAACAATCATTGATCTGTAGACAAAACTGCTGGTGTAAATAGAACGTACTGGAATAATAGCTTTTGATGGAGTATGATAACGGAAATCTTAGTATATTTACCGTTAATTTTGTTACAGCAAAGTAATTATCGCTACCCCAATCGTTTGAATAAAACAACGAAAAACAGCTGTAGAAATCGGCAGTTTTATATACCTGCTCGTATGCTAATTTTACCATATTCATTATCGTTAAAAACGGCGCTGTTTAAGCAAATAGGCATTCCCAGCAAGGTTTTATTCAAATCTTTAAAAATACAATCAACAAACAAAAATGCCATTACTCATTTTTTTGCCTTTTATCTCATATTTTCAAGAAGTGTATCTGTTAAATACGTAATGAGAAGCATAACAACAGAGGCACGATGCTCTAGAAACAGCGTTAGAAACAGATATAGGTATATAGACTTACCCTAGACAACAAAAGCTTTTATATAGTGGAGTTGTCGCCCTAGTACTATAACAGAATAGTTATATAAATATTTCTAACGCAATGACTCAGAAACGATGTCTGGAATGAAACTTGACAACACGCAGTTTGTCGCCCTTTAACAGAATAGTTATAAAACAACGCAATGACTCAAAGGTCTGGTGCCAACTTCTAGTCGTAGACACGGGCATCGCTGTGCCATTGTGCCACATATGAAACGGATGCATTGTTATGATACTACGTATTGCCACTTAGTGTCACGAAACAGAAACATTGTCACTAAAGTAGCAAGATTAGAAGGTTAAAATTGGTCTTTAGCAGCCTATGCTTGTCGTAAGAGACTAACGGGATCGGGTGGTCAGGCTCGCTGACTTGGTTGACACATGTCATCATATTATCTCAGTTCCGTAGAACAATGCTCATGATGTTGATCACTGAATTGTCTGCTCCAGACTCGATTATTAACAGATTGCTGCCATAAAGCTGGAATATTGCTATGTGCGGCGTTAAACAACAAACTAATATTAACTGCTTGAGATCAAGGAGAAATTGCAACCTTTCTTTAAGGACATGTGACTGACTGAGTTTGGTTTTACGCCGCTTTTAGCAATATTCCAGCAATATCACGGCGGGGGACACCAGAAATGGGCTTCACACATTGTACCCATGTTGGGATTCGAACCCGGGTCTTCGGCGTGACGAGCCAACGCTTTAACCACTAGGCTACCCCACCGCCCCAAAGGACATGTGAGGACCAATAGACAGATTCCTTAACTTTCAAGTCGCCAGTTGTAGCATGATTGTAGTTACAACAACATTCATTCACTCAATCAATCACAGTATATCCAGGGGAAACATACAGTGTAGTAAACTCTCTATGTAAACTAAAAGAGGCAACACTAACGAGAGTATAACTGATATTTATTAAGGAATCTACATGTTTTATCCGACTGATGGGACCTCGCAGTAAACAGGCGCTCCAATCTGGTCAATGAAGAACGCGTTACAATTGCAGTCGAATCTAAATCAAATAAAAGAGAGAGTTTATATTCAGCAACAACAACACCAACAGCAGTAACAACAACGACAACAACAACAACGATACGAAGAAGTATTTCTGTCAATATACATTCGAAAAGGGAAATATGGCAATACTCAGTTGATTTCAAGCATAAGTTTCAATCCCGTCCTTGCTCTACATTACCGATATGTACCATTACAGTTCTATTATTGTAAATATAACATCGTTAACTTTAATGATATTTCAATTGCAAATTAAAGATTTGATAAAAACAAGTGAGAGATAAAGTTTCCTCCGTTCCTCATTTTATCTCTCACTTGTTTTATCACATTGTGATTTTCTGTTGAATGTAATAGAACAGTACTGGTGCCTAGTCAGCAACTAAAAAATACTTCTAAATGTTTTAATGCTCAACAGTAAATGGGTGTCATAGACATTTTATCTTTGAAACAAATACAAATTTTGCTTTTTTTATGCATTGATTTATAAATATGGAAATGGTCACGGGTTGAAAAATTAATTTCTCACCCCTGTTTCTATGCTTAGAGCCAGTTTCGTTTTGCGTAGAATTAACAGCCACAGATTACCTTTTACAAACTGTTGCAGGTATGAATAAAAACTATGTTTACTTTAGTTAATGTGCTCAATATAGGTGAATGGTATAATTTCCTGATTTCCTGATAAACACATACTTAGTTTCGACATTTTAGGATACTTCTGTAGTTTTGGAACATTCGTCTTAAGGTACCATTTGCAAGTTTCTCTAGAGGGTCTCAAGCTGTTATGCAGAGTTGTGTCCCTTAGGATACGCTAGTTGAGGGTTCGATTCACCCTACATTGTTGATACACGTTTACGACATGCTTAACCATCATGATATCCTGACACATCGTGATGTAAGTAAAGTAGCCTGTAACCATTAAATTGACACTGAACATATACATACTGGCATGTAGCTTCCGGGTGTGCGGGACAAGTGGAATAATTACATGGGTCTTGGAAGCACGTGTTGTACGTGCACTCTGAAATACAAGATGGGATCAGATGTTCAAGATACTCAATATTTGGTGTCTGATAAAAAGCAAACTTTCTAACATGTACGCACATGATACATCTGACACTGTTTGATCTGGTACCTGTTAAGACCTCAGGTGTGAGTGAGTGAGTGAGTATGGTTTTACGCCGATTTTAGTAATATTCAAGCAATATCATGGCGGGGGACACCAGAAATGGGCTTCACACATTGTACTCATGTCGGGAATCGAACCCGGGTCTTCAGCGTGACGAGCGGATGCTTTAACCATTATGCTACCTCACCGCCCCTTTCAGATGTGTATGTGTGACATATGTTCGACTTCAGCATACGTTTTCATAAGTGAGTGAGTCAGTTTAGTTATACTCAGCAACATTCCAGCTACATAGCGGAGGTCTGTAATCATTCGAGTCTGGACCTGTAAATCCAGTGATCAACAGCATAAGCATATATCTACGAAATTGCACGTTTTCATAAAGGCACATATGCGACATCTTACTAGATAACATGCCGTGTTGTCAATACTAGATCTGGGGCGGTGGGGTAGCCTAGTGGTTAAAACGTCGGTTCGTCACGTTGAAGACTCGGTTCGATTCCTGACATGGGTACAATGTGTGAAGCCCATTTCTGGTGTCCCCCGCCATGATATTGCTGGAATATTGCTAAAAGCGACGTAAAACCATACTCAATACTAGACCTATATAACCTTACACTTTCCGTATTAGATCTTTTATAAATGAAACATACGTTTGGGTCTGTATATCAACAGCATCCGCTCTTCCCGTTCGATTGGGGATCCTGAAAAATACGATAGAAAAGTACTGTTTTTAATACGTAACGTTGTCCATGTCTCTGTGATTTTGTCATTATATTTAAGATAAGAACTCAATAATACTATTGTTGTAGGTTATACCTGGATATCCACATCTCTATCGCTTATAGTGTGTCGTACTGCAAAAGTATTTGAAAATACTTACCATTTACCACAGATAAAAGGAACAACGTTAAGACGATGGCATATAGCTTGACCATTTCGCACAAATTCCTCGACGCCGTGAGATAGATAACAGCCGACACAGGACCAGGTTCACGTGACCTGTTCTCCGGACCAATATTTGCTTGAAATTAGAGCATGTAATAAATAGTTTGTTTGCTTAATATGTTTACTTTTTTCTTCCAGTAAATGTGTTTTCAGGACTATTTTCTTAGTTTTCTTTTGTGGCATTGAAGCAGATGACCATGTAATTTGCTTTGCCAATCTGTGACGTCATTCCTTTCTTGAGAAAGGACATATGCTGTGATTATTGTACAAACGTAAGTGAAAGCATGTTCTCTTCGCATATTAAGAGAAATTCCGCTATATCACGGGTAAATAATCAAATCTGGAACGAGTTTACAAACGTAAATCAGTTTTTTTCACAGCAACGTTCCATTTAGTCTTCGTATGGTCAATCCTATCCTCGTAAGTCAATTCTAACTGTCATTCAGGTGAATAAATCAGCGCTCTGAAGTTCTAGTCATTTCTATGATACTTATAAAATACATAATTCTTAATCCTTCATTACTGGCTGCGCCACTGATGCGGATTCTGGGCTAGAATTGCCACATATTCTTGGCTTGCATGATCTGCATTAGGTATATGTGTTTCAGGGTCTGTATAACTGACTAGACTTGCGACATATTCTAGACTTGCATGGGCTGCCTTGGGTATATGTGTTTCTGGGTCTGTATGTCAGACAATAAATACCAGGCGAATTTCAATCAGCTTAGAATATTATATAGAACAAACTTGATGGATAACAACTTCTTTTTTTCGTGAGTGCGACGTTAAGATACAGATTCTTGTACCGTTATCAAAGGATAGGAATAGTGTCAGCCGGGCAATCGAAACCATGGTCATCATTGTTTTGGGACTGATATGTGAAATGGTGTCTTCAACAGACACACAACATAACCCTAAGGTCTAGTTTCACACAGTATCTAAGTATTATGATAAGGAGTAGTGAGTGAATATGGTTTTGCGCCGTTTTGGGATATGGTACAGACACCCCCTATGCTACTACTACAACGGGCGATGAGGGTAATCTTATGGACAAAGCCTGTGCTCATCACTGTTAATTCAATGGGACAGCTATTGCACATGTTGATCGAATATCGGACATATGTTCACGTTGTGGTATAGTGTATATAGGGGCGGTGGGGTAGCCTAGTGGTTAAAACGTTGGCTCGTCACGCCGAAGACCCGGGTTCGATTTCCCACATGGGTACACTTCTCGTGTCCCCCAACGTGACATTTCTTGGAATATTGCTAAACCTCACTCACTCATTCACTATGGTGTATATAATATAGGGGCGGTGGGGTAGCCTAGTGGTTAAAGCGTTCGCTCGTCACGCCGAAGACCCGGGTTCGATTCCCCAACATGGGCACAATGTGTGAAGCCCATTTCTGGTATCCCCCGCCGTGATATTGCTGGAATATTGCTAAAAGTGGCGTAAAACTAAACTCAGTCAGTCATTATATAATATAAATAATTTGATTATGTGCTGCTTTTTATCCTATATGTGCAATTGATAATTTAGAGAATTGTGTCTCACAGGCCAGCTGGTCGGACATTGCCATGTACCTGTATTTATCATGTTTTTTACTGTTCACTTGTACATTTTTACAATGTGTGACACATTAATAATAATTTTTTATTTTTTTATTATTTTTTTTTTCTTCTTCTTCTTCTTCTTCTTCTTCTTCTTTTCTTCTTCTTCTTCTTTTAACTGTTTGATCCCGATGGATCCAATTAGTTTCTGCAAATAACACAGTGAGTGTTTCCGTTCATGGTGTATTATTTTTATTGTGTAGGCCCACACATAAACGCCTTGTTTGTTGACACCTTTCAACAACTGATAAGGCGGCCGTTGGAATCGTGCCATTCAGCCGTGCATCCACATCCTTGTCTGGAAGAAAGAAGTACATAGGGAAGTGTATTGACAGTAAGAAAGGTGTTGCAATATGGTGAAGTCTGGATGTCGTTTACACCGCACACAACAATATTCCAGACTAACGCCCAGGCTCTGAATATATATAAGCTTGGTAGAAACAAATAATTCCTTTAAAATTGAAAAGGAGCCCAATGAGATGGGACCAGAACAAGAGGAAATCTAGACTTGCTTCATTTAGGTGAGGAGAGGTGAAATTGGGTTTTACGTCGTACGTGAGAATATTTCGCTCATATGACGACGTGCATGCGTGTGTATGTGTATGTGCGGCTGCTTGTACTAGCCCAGACTGAAGCTGGTTTTATAGTGCTAGCCCACTGAGATACCATGCCACAATGAAGCATGAATACGCCACTCAGACACATTATACTGACTCCGAGCCGACCAGTCCTTGTTGTACCCATTAAAATGCCGAGCGCCAGGCAGGGACCAACAAGTACCATATTTTAACATCTTTTGGTATGACGCGGTCGGGGACCGAACCCGCGACCTTCCGCTCTCCGGGCGGACGCTCTAACCACTACACCACGGAGGGGAAAGCCCAATTACACAGATCTCGAGAAACCCATGAGCATTGGTATACAAACATACGTACGTACCTACGTACCTACTTACATACATACATACATACATACATACATTTGTATAGCGCCGATATCCAGCTCAGCTGCTCAAAGGCGCTTTGTTTTTCCCTCGATCACTGGATGTCAATCTCAACGGCACGTCGTATTATCAATCTCAACTCCCTGGGGATCATACAACTCTTGCAGCCACGTAGGCGCACCGAGTTAGTGTGGCTTTCCCATCTTTACGATAGTGCTCACATGTTGTAATCGCGGCGTAAATGGGATTTGAACCCACGGATCTTCGCGACTAAGGGACGCAACTCGCCGACTTGGTGAACCACGCCCACGAGTGGGTAAGTTTGTGAGTTTGTAGGAAAATGAATGGGTTAAGTGCACTGCAGATTAAACGTTGGCTTTTAACGCCGAAGGCTGGTTCCTTACGCCTTGTGACGATTCTAGAGAAACTCGATCTAAACAAATTTTAAAGTTCATTTCCTCGACGTCTACCAACAAATTAATACAGCAGACCGTATACCTGCATGTGGCACCTGGGTGTCCCAAACACGTGGCCGTCATGCACGGGCTGACGAAGCATGCGATGGGCAAGCAGCCGATGAATCTAGCTGCAAACACACCACGAACATCACAATGAAATAAAAACTTGAAATTCTGATAACAAAATCACCCCTATAGATAAATATCCAAACTTAAAAAATATATGACAGTCTTGAACTTGGAATGTACAGGAACTTTAAGTCACGCCGATCGTTCATGATCGGGTCTCATCAAAATCAAATCTTTCACTCCGATCTGGTACCTCAAGCCAGCCCTGCTTCTCTCCTAATGTGTCGCCACGTATGGCTTGATAAAAATGGCAATGCGACTCACACAGAGTTGTAATTTTAATAAGATGAAGGGCAACATAAACACAGTCTTTGTAGTTTTTGTCATTTTTTTTCATTCGGTGAATAGTAAATTTGGGTTGGAGAGGTTCGTAAAATAATAAAATTTGTTATTTACACGGATGATTTCTTTAAGTGATTAGAAACTATATGTTTATTGGTTATTAATAAGCGGTACAATACAGACGAACAACCAAATATAAACTTCTAGAATGCAAACTTCTAGAATGCCGATCAAACAATTAACAAATATAACTCGTTCATATATCAGTGTATGTAAAACGTGATATTTCATGGTAAAGCTAAAATGGCATCATGCATATTGACGAAACAGACATCCATAGTTTGTGTCACTGCTATGTCCAAAGATATATTTCAACATACACGCACGTAGGGTAAATCTTGTTAAGCCAAAATGGTTTCGATTCTCAAGTACAAATAATGGGTGTAAAGTTGTTAGTAATTCCTGGTCGACACAATGTACATCTGTATACTCACACTGGACTAGGCTCCTGTCTTCCACCGGAGCCCCTGTATAGCAACAAGAATATATTTAAACCATTCCTATAGTGTCTGTTATACGAGAGTAGTGTAAAGGATATACGGATATTGAAATAATAAACTAGTCCTCATCATACGGGGAATAGAGGCGTGTTTCGTAACCCATGTTTGTGACCAGAATCAGGGCCGGTCGCAGATCGATGTCATTCACTGGATTGTCTGGTCCAGACACGACGTTTTACAGGCCACCATCATACGGTTGGAATATTATTTATTATTATTTTAATATAATTTGTGTATTTCTCTAAGGCATTTACACGGTTTTGAATAACTATGTTTTAAAAGAAATAAAGCATGACTGTTTGACCAAAAATTATCAATGTAACTTCCATTACAATTAAATGGCGGAAGTATACTTTGTTAACTTACAAAATTCGACCGGAATGTTAAGCAACAAACAAACACAAGCCGATTGTGTGTCAATAAACTCCCTCGACCGAGCAGTCAACAACCAGTTTCACTGTCCCAATCTATTACGTTTTGTTTGTTTGCTTGTTTAAACTCCGCACTCAGTAATATTCCAGCTATATGGTGGCGGTCTGTAAATAATCGAGTCTGGACCAGACAATCCCAAATCATATACGTTAGACTGACTGACTGAATGAGTTTAGTTTAGTTTTACGCCGCTTTTAGCAATATTCTAGCAATATCACGGCGGGGGGACACCAGAAATGGGCTTCACACATTGTACTCATGTGGGGAATCGAACCCGGGTCTTCGGCGCGACGAGCCAACGCTTTAACCACTAGGCTACCCCACCGCCCCCATATAGGTTAGAGGTTATCTTTGGGAACCAAACAAAAATCAGCGGTAAACAAATGCTTTCTGATTTTCTGACAATGAGCGCTTGTGCTTTCCTTGACAAAAACGTGCTATTCTCCTCTCATGACCTGCAACGTTGCCATGTTCACTAGTGACAGCGTCATTCGTAAAAATGTAAACTGTGCCGGTCACTCGGAACTAGTGGATGTTAGGAATAATCCGAAACAGTGGATATACTGCAAAATCCAAAAACAGTGAATATAAAGTATAATCCGAAATAATGGATATAATGCATAATCCTAAACAATGGATATCAAAGTCAAATATATAAAGTTTAAATTTGAAAACAGCCCAATTAAAAATCAAATTTACTGATCAAACGTTAAAATGTCAGTATGGTTAAAACGTGTTAGTGCATTACTGAAATCAACCGATACTTTCATTTTAGAGAAATATTAATTTCATATTTTCAGATGAATGGAGTGTTTCATTACTACATTCAACATAAAGACAACATTCAGAACGTGTACAGAAAGAAACATGATATACAGTATATACCATTTATGAGTGTTGCGAACAGTAAGCAAACCACCTGATCTTGGCTGGATAGTTCAACCTGGATAGCTTACCTTGGATATAGGACACAAAAACCACAAACAGAAAAGCCACAGCGGTCCTCATGTTATGTTTCCAAGCTGAATCAAATGTGATCAAGCTCTGGGACAAAACTTATAGTCTATCAGTACACTGAAACCTGCTAACTTCTCACGCCACGAGATAGGCCTGGGACGTTTTGGAGTTTGTTTGGTTACAGCCTGTAATGTCGAAACTGTAGCAAGAACGTCGAAAGCTAAAGTCAAAAACTCTAAAATGTTCAGAATGTTACGATTGAAATACATACATATAATAATTACTTAGAAATAATTGAGAGATTTACAGTAGTGGATTAGATATCCTTGAATCAGTGACAGCCATCTAAAGTCACATAGATTCTGTGTAAATATGATATTTTACGAGCGCTTCGAGTGAAAAGTGATGTCGTATTCATTGCTTTGACGTTAACATTATTAACATTATCTTGATTGCAACAAATATTTATTTTCTCCCCATCTGTGTACTTTAAAGTTCGTTTGGCAATTATTAAGCAAAGTGGTTGATTTGGCTAAATGAGTGTTTCTACGACAACCGTAAGTTGACTATTTGTCATATGCAACTTGACTGGTTTGTCTTCCTAAGACTGGTTGCGCTTCTCACCGCACTGCAGCCCCTAAGCGAAGTTCAGGATACCAGTCTCGTTTCAAGCGTCCCAACCTGGTTCCTTGGGTACGCTACGCTGACGCTACATTGTGTCCACGTTGCAGTGTGTGTGTGTGTGTGTGTAATACAATTCTTTTTCACATGTCTCTGCACTAATCACCTATTACATAATTGGCAACGATGTCTAAGGAAGTCAGACGTCGGAGCCGACCGCGTGACGGCCCAGGACCGTCCAAATCTAACGGCAGACCGTCTAAACTTTCTTCCAAAAGCCCAGGAGGCTTCTTCACCAAATTGGCAATATCAGTTTTGGCAGCCGGCGTAGTGCTTGTTATTGCATATATACGGTATCAGACCTCACTCAAGTTAGCAGTGAAGACGCCACTTCATTCACCGAAAATACTGGCCGATAACAGTTCCAGTGCTGCTGAAAACCCCGACAGATTTTGGGGAACATACAGATCACACATGTATTTCGGCCTGAAGACGAGGAGCAAAGCATCGCCAGTTGTTGGTATGAAACCTTTTATTCAACATTTCTGGCATAATAGGCCTGTTTAAGTTTTGTGTTGCAAAGGGAACTTTACTGAACTGCAGTAATTGGGTCCCTGTTTCAGCGGTATCGTATTTATGAGGGCGCACACACAAGGGCGATGTGTTTTAGAGGCGATATTTAAGATCATGGTTCGAGCAAAGTATCATTTGAACTGAACGAGCATGTTAGGTTGAAACATGTCGTTGTATTCACACTGCGTAAATCAATGTTCATACTGTTGATCACTGGATTGTCTGGTTCGCTTCAATACTACATAACAACGTATGGTATGGATTTACCTTCCAACTTCTAAATGCCCATCAATACTACAAACAAAGAAACGGGCATGAGAAATATGATCTGTGAAACATTCAATGAAAGTCAAGCTCATTTTTGCAAACACTGATACCACCCTTTAGTAGGCCTTTCCACCCCTTGTTTCTTGTTTCCAGTTTTCCCTTTATCCCAAGTGTTTTATTCGGATAACAAAATGACAACAGTGTTAGCAGCAAATATATCCCCTGTAAAACCCTCTTGCTTTCAGTTGTAAATAAATGTGCTTGCTTTGTCCTTGATTCATGAACTTGTATAAATCAAGGAACATTCTTTCTTGATACTGCAGTCTACATAAAGAGATAACTCTACCATTAGAATTCCATGAAAGAACAGGTACCCACATAACTGACAATACTTAGAAGTTTTGCAGCTGTTATAATAATGTTATGATAATATTAAGGTGAGGTGAGGTGAAATTGGGTTTAACGTTGCGCTGAAGAATATTTCGCTCATATGACGACGTGCATGCGTGTGTATGTGTAGGTGCGGCTGCTTGTACTAGCCCAGACTGAAGCTGGTTTTATAGTGCTAGCCCACTGAGATACCATGCCGCAGTGAAGCATGAATACCCCACTCAGACACATTATAATGACTCCGAGCGACCAGTCCTTGTTGTACCCATTAATGCCGAGCGCCAGGCAGGGACCAACAAGTACCATATTTAACGTCTTTTGGTATGACGCGGTCGGGGATCGAACCCGCGACCTTCGGGCTCTCCAGGCGGGCACTCTAACCACTACACCATGGAGGCGGTCTATGATAATATTAAAGTGTATTTAAAGCTTTGGGCAAGTAAATAATTTCTAAACCTGAATGAGCGAGTGAGTGAGTTTAGTTTTACTCCGCCTTTAGCAATATTCGAGCAATATCATGGCAGGGGACACCAGAAAAGGGTCTCACACAATGTACCCATGTGGGGAATCGAACCCAGGTCTTAGACGTGTAGAGCGACTAGGCTACCTCACCGCCCCTAAACCTGAATGGAATTTTGATAGTAGTAACAAGATACACAAAGATGCTTCTAATTCTTTCAGGTCTGATGTGGCTGAATCAGTTCACAGGGCAGATGCCGCCACCGTTGCGTCATTGGTGCGACCAGGGTGACCAGCTACAGAGCTATGGCTGGACGCTGCACGATGGCGCCAACTTTGGTGTTCAGGATATTCATGAGTCTACGTACATGCTGCGAACTCAGTTTGTGAAGCGACCTGGTGGTCAGCATGGTGGGGGACTGGTCAGCCAGAGTCAAAGCAGTTCCATATGTAAGTAGGAGTGCCAATGTGGTAAGAGATCCAGGTCAAAATAGGTTCCTGTTACCTCGAGTTGACTTGAATCATGACCTCGGAGTTGGAACACTGTGCCTGATGGGTTATCCATGTTAAACACCATGACATGGGGTCTAGCACAATTAAACCAGCACTGTCTGTCTCTATCTGTGATATAAACTCATTGTAATTACCGGTATGTTTAAAAAGTATCACCTCTACAAACTGCTTATTGCTGCAGTCAGATGTAAGTCGGCTGGACATTTAGCAATTACTCATTCTTCTCTCTCTCTGTCTCCCTCCCACCTCTCTCCTTCTCTTTCTCTATCTCTGTTTCTCTGTCTCCCTCCCCCCCTCTCTCTGCTCTATGTCTCTCTGCCTCTCTCTCTATGTCTCTCTGCCTCTCCTCTCTCTATGTCTCTTCGCCGTGAATAGCTGCAACATTGCTGATGTGGCGTTAAGCTATATTCACTCACTTTCTCTATCTCTCTGTTTCTCTCTCTCCCTTTCTTTGTGTTTCTCCCTTCCCTTCTTTATCAGCCTCTCTCTCAATGAATATTTGATTCTAATGATCACAAATAATAAACTGAATTCAAGAAGGGATATGGTTCGATTCACCGACCGAATGCATGAATGCATAACAGGATGGTGACGATCAATCTCCACTATACCCTGGATGCATCCACGGCTTGGCCTGATAATTTTATTACTTCCCTTGGCTGGCTCCGCATTCTCACAGTAGCCAATCAGCTAAGCCGCCGTAACAACCGAGCTTGCCAGTGTCAACAAAGATAGCGGTTGCAGTCGCGAAGGTTTGTTCGCAGTGCCACTCAGATATTTGGGGAAATAATCCAGACAAATTGACAGATCTGAAACTTTAAAAAATATATGAAAGAATTCCTTCTACCTCTTTCAGAGTACCTCTACATCAATTGTGTTGCCTAGTTTAAACGGTTAGATAATTTAAGAAGCGAAAGTGAGTTGTGATTGGTACACTCAACTTCCCAGTGTAGACACCTGATTGGATAAAAAGCCAGCCAAGGGAGGTAATAAAATCATCGGACCAAGCCGTGGATGCATCCAGGGTATAGTGGAGAATGATCGTAACGTATACCCTGGAGATTATCGAGGATGAGTCTGAAGTTACTTACTGCATCCTTTCTTCTTCCAGAACCCAAACAAACCTCCGACAGTGTCTCTGATGTTCTACATGGCCCTTGATGGTCAAGGTCAGCTGGACCCACAAGTGACCAAGAAGCGCCTCTCATCAATCAAGGGGTTCTCAGAGGAACTCGGTCACTTTGAGCTGAAGTTCCCCAAGAACACGGCAACAGGGGCCAAGCACGGTCATCTGATCAGCCAGTCTCCTCAGCTGGACAAGCTGAAGGACGTCCTCATGTCCTCTATGTCAGTGGATGCTTGGGACAAGAAGAGGACTTTGCCATATTTTGTACTAAATGGCCGTGCCATCCCAAGTGAGCAGCCCACAAACTTTGTTGTGCACCAGGTCACTGCAACTCTACCGTTTGAAATGGAGGTTGTGTTTGAGTCTGGTAGCGTCACTAACAGACGTGACACTTTAGCTGGAAGTGTGTTTGAAAATTCCTTGCAAAACCATGTGAGTACCTTCAATGAACGTTTCTTAAAAACTTTTCCACTCAAAGAGAAGGGATACTCTGAGAAGGAAATAAATTTTGCCAAAGCAGCTCTTAGTAATATGGTTGGCAGCATCGGTTATTTCTATGGATCGTCTCTTGTTCAATCCATTTACAATGAAGAACCCGTTGAGTATTGGCAGACCTCTCTATACACTGGAGTCCCTTCACGACCATTCTTTCCACGAGGGTTTCTATGGGATGAAGGCTTTCATAACCTCCTCATCAGCAAATGGGATCCCTCCATCTCCAAAGACATCATTGCTCATTGGCTGGACACCATGAATATTGAGGGCTGGATTCCTCGGGAGCAGATTCTTGGAGTTGAGGCTCGGGCAAAGGTTCCAGCTGAATTTGTTGTTCAAAGAAACAAAAATGCAAATCCACCAACATTTTTCCTTCCTCTTCAGCGACTTATCAAAGACATGATCGTGAGCAACACGCTCAAAGACAGAGCATTTCTCGGCGCCCTCTATCCACGATTAAAGGCCTGGTACTCTTGGTACAACTCGAGTCAAGTCGGAAAAGTTCCTTCATCTTATCGCTGGCGAGGGAGAGATGCCTCTGCTGTCAAGCAGCTCAATCCTTTAACCTTGACCTCTGGGCTCGATGACTACCCACGTTCCTCTCACCCAACAGATGACGAGAGGCATGTTGACCTACGATGCTGGCTTGCACTAGCTTCAGGTGTTATGGCCGATATTGCACGCTCATTGGATCAAGATTGGGAAGACTATGACCGCACAGCACAAACTGTTGACCAATAATGACCTCCTGGATGAACTGCATTGGTCAGAACAAGGTCAGCAGTACAGTGACTATGGCCTTCACACTGACCGGGTCAAGCTGGAACGACCAAAACCTCAGGTAAACCTTCAACCTGGACAACGACCCCCGCCAATGAACCAAGACAAAATACGAGTCACTATGGAGGAACCAAAAAGCCAGTTTGTCAACATGTTTGGATATGTTAGTCTCTTTCCATTTCTTTTAAAAATCGTGGAACCCGATTCACCCAAACTGTACAAGATTCTCAACGATCTCAAAAATCCGACCCTGCTGTGGACGGACTATGGTTTGCGGTCACTGTCCCAGAGTACAAAACTGTACAACCGATACAATACAGAACATGATCCTCCATACTGGCGAGGCGCCATCTGGATTAACATGAACTACTTAGCTCTTGGCTCCTTAGACTTTTATTCCAAAGCCAAAGGGCCTTACCGAAATTTGGCTTCAGGTATATACAAAGATTTGAGAAAAAATATTGTAGATAATATCATAGCTAATTATGAAAAAACAGGATATATATGGGAAAATTATAGTGACAAAACGGGCAAGGTCGTGGGAGTCATCCGTTTACTGGATGGTCAGCTCTGGTAGTATTGATCATGGGGGAGAGATATTGAAACTACTGTTGTCATCATTGAAGAGGTACAGACTCAACTGGCTGACCCTTAGGGACCAGTCATTTATTATAGGGGTGGGTTGGTTGGAGGGAATCTGAGGATCACCAAGAAATCAGTGTCAAGAGGAGGGAAGGTCATAAAAATTTTATGATAAAATGAACAATTCCCGGTCATGAATAAATGTACATGGGCATAGAAACGGTCATCCAAAAATATGACAAGCATTAGGTGAGGGTCATTATTTTCTGTACATTTGTGTACTAAAATCTTTGACAGCCCTTCCAACTGTAATAATGACTGGTCCCTTCAGCTTGCAAGAAACATATTATCATGGGATTCAATCGTAGATTTATTCTGGTCATGTTTCTAGGTTTGCCAGCACCCACACGTGCTCGTAGGTTTCTCGGAAGTTGTGAGCGCCGGAGTTCTGTATCACATTCCACCAACATCAAACTGACACGGGTGGTGGGGTAGCCCAGTGGTTAAAGCGTTCGCTGGTCACGCCAAAGGCCTGGGTTCGATTCCCCACATGGGTACGATGTGTAAAGCCCATTTCTGGTTTCTCCTGCTGTGATATTGCTGGAATATTGCTAAAAGCAGCATAAAACCATACTCACTCACTCACTCACTAAAACTGACACGCCATGATGAGACCTATTTACTGTTTTAGTGAGTCAGCGCACTCACTCACTCACTCTATTACCACTCAGTTTTAATCTGGTTGTTAAATAAGACTTGAACACATCTGCAGACTCGGGTTTATTAAGGGGCGGTGGGGTAGTCTAATGGTAAAGCGACCGCTCGTCACGCTGAAGACCCAGGGTTCCATTCCCCACATGGGTACAATGTGTGAAGCCCATTTCTGGTGTCCCCCCCATGATATTGCTGGAATATCGCTAAAAGCGTGTGAAAACCATACTCACTCACTCAGGTTTATTGATCCATATTTGTCTCATGACATGACTGGGTTTTCCAGTATGCACAAGTTTGACGGATGTAGAAGAAAAAATGCATCCCAAGTGACCCTCAATAAGGGCAGCATTTTAATTTTTTCAGTTTCTCATCGCCCGACCGACCCTTCTAATTTTTTTGCCCCAACCCCCTCAAAAATCCTCTTTTTTTTTTCCATTCCTAAAACATCATATAAATAGAGGCGGTGGGGTAGCCTCATGGTTAAAGCTTGTCTCGTCACAAACAAGACCGCTCCCACATGGGTACATTTCTGGTGTTCCCCGCCTTGATGTTGCTGAAATATTGCTAAAAGCGCGTAAAACCAAAACTCAGTCAGTCAGTCATCATATAAATGATTATCTATCTAAAATGTTTTAATCAGTGCTGCCACAAGTCCAAAGAACACGATAAATTGTAATAAGAATTACAATAAATGAGAATCAAGAACAGTATTCAGAAAATTTTGTGTTTATTAAAAAAATGTTTTTATTTATATTTTTTTGCTCCAACCGACCGACCCATGTTCAGAATTTGGTGGCTACGTGAAACACGTAAAAAAACCTAAATGATACCCTAATATGCATCGTACCATATTCTTGGCAAGGAATGTAATGGGCCTCTGAGTGACTACAGCAGATATATAGCCCTACACTACAGTACTGTATTTCCTTTGAAGACCCTTGGAAATTAAATAGCTATGATCCCCTGGGCACAATGTGTGAAGCCCATTTCTGGTGTCCCCCACCGTGATGTTGCTGGAATATTGTGGGGTAAAAAACTCTTCAGTGACCCCTGAACGCTAATCCCCTGGACACCTCTTGAAACTTCCATGCAAGTCTATAGTATTTTGGCCCATATTGCTTCGTTTTTTGGAAGATGAGATTCTTGGAGCTCACTTATATTATTTTGTAAATGACTTTTTAATAGAAATAAATATGTCCATTTCAGAGTCTTCATCTTCATGTTGGTGTAGATTAGAGAACTTTTTGCCTAAACTGAACATGGACTTGAGGGGTATAGTCTTCGTAGAGATTTAAAGAAAATGTCCCAGAACTAATATGTTTCTTTCACGATTAAGATGCTCTCTTGATAGATTCATCTTCTGACGATTTTACGTGCATAATCACCATTGTAAATGTTTTATCAAGCTTAAGTATACATTCATTAAATTTTTTTAGTGTATTGGACAAGCTTGTTAACATTGTAGCAGTTACTCGAGACATTTTTATCCCCCACCACATAGTGAGACTGGCAGGATGGACAAATATGCCTGCAGGAAAGTGGATACAAGGATGAAGATATGTCTTTAAGGAATGAATGTGTTCATTTAGCCAGAAACCCATCAGTGGAAATTTTATTTTTTACAGAGTTATGACCCTTGTTTGCTAATTTATAAAATGTGCCCAAAATGTTTGGGTTATTTTTTCCAGAAACATCTAGGTTGACATTTTGTATACATCACTAAGGGATGCCCTGGACATTTTGAAATGAATCATATGATTAATATTGTACAGAGTTATGGCCCTTGTTTCATTCATTGACATGGTGCACTGTGCCTCAAAATGGGAAATGGTTTGACGGAATCCACTTTGCATTCATCATTATGGGATTAATATGTGATCAAGTTAGAAATTTAGCCTGAATATTTGGTATTTGGCTATGACTCTTGACATGTTTGCATTTGAGTAGAAGAGGGAAGATGTGTTTTAGGCTAATAACTAGTCTCTAAAATGAACATCTTTTAAAGATAAACAGTAACAGTTCAAAATAAAATATAATGAAAAGGAGCCCTTCGACTTTCTTCATTTTCAGCAGATTGGTACAGACCCTGAAACTGTGGACTTGCATTGGCCTTGTTGGATATATTTGTTTCAGGGTCAGTATGACAGACTAGATGTGTTTCAGCAGCAGAACATATGAGCCTTGTCAAATGTCTCAAATCTTTGTATGAACAACAGACGAGCTGAAGTGGTGCCTTTGATTTTGTTGAATTTTTAGAAACCCGTGTTTAGCTTTTCAAAGGCAGCATGTTTAAAATAAAAAGTCTTTTTTTTCTTAATTCTGCCCATCTTTTATTAAATCTTTAGGAAACTTTGCAAATGTATTGAGTTAGTTGACATTAGTGCCAACTGTTTCCACAGAAATATTTTACACTTTTTTCATACAGGATATGGATGACTGTCCATGATGACCTTTTCATAAACACAAGGGACAGAATTTACTTTTTTTGGAAAAAATCGTAAATCTAAAGGAGCATCCTTTTCATTTCAATGTGGCTGGCTGGAAGATTGTTTAAATGAATGGTTTATTCTGAAGTATGTACAAAATAGTTGTTGGTAGTGAAAAAAACAAAACAAATTCGTTTGTGGAAAATACTCAGTAATTTCCCTTCATTCAAAATTAAGATGCTTCCTATCTGAAACAACTACTGTTTCCATGGAAACAGTTAATTTGATTTAGGTCAGTGTGGATTACTGCTTATCCTACATTCTTTGTTGTTATCATGATTAAAATTGTCACATTGTCATGCTTACTGAGGGGCGGTGGGGTAGCCTAATGGTTAAAGCGTTGGCTCGTCACGCGCCGAAGACCCGGGTTCGAATCCCCACATGGGCACAATGTGTGAAGCCCATTTCTGGTATCCCCTGCCGTGATGTTGCTGGAATATTGCTAAAAGCGGCGTAAAACCAAACTCAGTCAGTCAGTCAGTCATGCTTACTGAATGTTTGGTATTACCACTGTGACTTTCATTTAGTATCAGTATAGAACATATCATTTAATCAGATTTGAGCTTGTTCATAATATGTCTGTTACGTATGCTTGATTGTCATGATTGTGGGAGGATATATATTAATTTACATCACAGGATAAAAATCAGGGTATCACAATGCATCAATACATCATGAACTTAACCAGATGAATTAATACTCTTTACAGCTACCCATGTGTTAATTCATGTTTTAATTCTTACAAAATTTTAGAAGATATTGTTAACTTAATTTGGTTATAACTTGAAAACTACTTATTGTTACTTACCCTTGTCAAGAATTTTTTTATTAAATCTTACTTCTAAAAAAGTATAAGAATAACCTTGATTTACAATTAATGTTATACAAAATGGTCTAAGTAAATTTAGGCTCAGTATCATTCGTTACACTGCTATACTGAGTCTAACAAAACCTAGTATAAAGTCGCGGCAGCTAACCTTTGAGCCACCATCCAATCAAATGCGAGATGGATGAACGGATTTAACCAATCTGACAATGGCTGCTGTTTAGGGTTCGTCAACAAACGAAAATCAGGATAAAACACAGATATTTGACCTGCAGTAATACGCGTAGGGCTTTCTGATGACATTTTTATCATTTGGAATCGTTCGGGTACAACCTTTTTCGAGGTAAAAGTTCAAAAGGCATCTGCAAATGTCAACTTTCTCATTTTGGTAAGCTGTGTCCTGATTGGTCAATTGAAAAGGTTAGCTGACGCGACCTTCTACTAGGGTTTGTTAGACTCAGTATAAGCAGTGTAACAAATATTACTGAGCCTAAGTTTACTTAGGCTGGTTGTTTTGGCGCATTAATTTGTCATTTGTTTCAACCTGTGTCACAGTTGGGGTAACCTAGTGGTTAAAGCGTTCGCTTGTCACACCGAAGACCCGAGTTTGATTCCCCAGATGGGTACAATGTGTGAAGCCCATTTCTGGTTTTATTATCTACAGAGTGTCATAAACTACTGTTGTTTTTCTATTGTTATCTACGTGTTATACCAATAAGTATTGGGGAAATAACATCACATGTATTGCCTTTTACATTTTAAAGTGGCAGTGGGGTGGTCTAGTGGTTAAAGTGTTTGCTCGTCACGCTGAAGACCCAGGTTCGATTCCCTACATCGGTACAATGTGTGAAGCCCATTTCTGGTGTCCCCACCGTGATATTGCTGGAATATTGCTAAAAGCGATGTAAAACTCATTCACTAACTCATATATTTTTTACCGCTTTTTGGCTTTTAAGTCCAGGCAATTGTGTAGGTCGATGCTCATGCTGTTGATCACTGGATTGTCTGGTCCAGACACAATTATTTACAGGCCGCTGCCATATAGCTGGAATATTGCTAAAAGCGGCATTAAACTAAGTTCACTCACTCACTCGACATGGAATTAATTCTATCCAGAACAAATATTGCCAGTATTAATGTATCATGGAAAGACTTTCTCATAAAAACTCCACCATGGGAATAATTCTCCTTGAGGAATATAGTACATTGGAACAATTTCACTATTGGAATATAAATTCCTGCACTGAAATTGTTCCTTAGTACTAAATCATTACTGACATACTGTTAGTGATCATGTATTCAGCATAATATTCTGTGTAACAAGCTGTAGGGAATGGCGCAGAAGTCGTAGTGTTAGTCTCGCAGCCGTATTGTCATGGATACTGATTTTTCATGCATCTTATCGAAATATAACATGGATATACAGGGTATAAGTTTTATTAATGATGGTTACTTAGGATTTGTAAGATTTGTATTTTCATTTCAACATTTCATGTTTAACATATATTTCCTGGTATCCAACATTTCTGAAATGCTGAACTGCAAATTAGTTCTATCAGAAAACTGTTCTGTAACCCAGTGTCGTATATCAAAGTTATGCCATGCAAACAGAAATTATACCTCATTTATGATACATTGTCAGTATGCCTGGTTACATATTTGACCAGTTATTATCTGCAAAGAAAAAAATACATCCAAATTATGTTTGTTTAAACTTCGTTGTTCATATCCAGATGGTGCAGTGTGTATGATACGTAACGTGAATAAAAGGCTGACCAAAGAGGATAAAATAGTGTTTCTGCTGATTGGTCAATGCATTGTGGGTCAGAAATTTAATAATAATAATAATAATGCTAATTTTTGCGCCTAGAATCCAACGCGATGCTGTTCTCTGGTGTTACATTATTACCCTGACGGAATTGTACTTTCAAAGCTGCTACTAATCGCGACCGTATAGGTCTGTACATCCACTTTTCAGGTACCGGTACCTATTTTAAACAGCTGGGTGGACTGAGTGCAATGTGGACGAAGTGCCTTGCCCAGGGACACAACACAGTATGAGACCCAGGTCACAAATTTTGGTGTCTCCACCGGGATTCGAATCCAGGCCTTTGGCGTGAGAGGCCAGCATGCCAACCACTACACCACTGTGCTCCACTTTAGTGTCAACCGGTGGGGGAAGAAATGATGAAATGAGTCCCACTTGTCAGACTTCTTGTCGGTCCTGGTCAGGCTCTCTGACTTTGCTAGATTCCCCACATGGGTACAATGTGTGACCACAAGTGGCGTAAAACGAAACTCTCTCTCTGACTTTGCCGATTGTATGTTACTGTACAACATGGTTTAGATTATAGCTGGAACAGTGTAGCGTGTTTAAAGAGCATCCACTCACTCAGTTACTCTCAACTATATCTGGGATCTCAGGGGCGGAAATAACCCAGCCCGACGTCCAAGTCCAGTGTTTTTCTCTTTCGGGCAAGCAAATTTGTATATCACACTGTACCAGTGTCCAGTTGACTTTCCAATGTTAATTATGTTGTTTATTTAAAAAATCAACAAGAAAACGGTCGGTATAGTGGAAACATTATCAGGGCAAGTGATTTTACATGTGCCACTGTACCAGAGTACACTAGCAATTTTAAAGTTATTTCCACCCCTGGATCTGTATGGACTACTTGTGTACTCCCCCGCAACCTATGATGTTTGTAGAAGTTGACAATGGACTGGTTTGTCAAAATGGATCGGGCAGGCAGTCAGTTTCAGTGACCTGGTTGATGAGTGTATTCATACCAATGGCATGGCTTGTTGCTCCCAATATACTATACTACTCAAAGTTTGATAAGGATCATATTTTTCAGCACTTGTAAAACTTTCAACAAAGGTGAATGACAACCAACACAGAGTGATTGATGTTCAGAAATGTTTACTTCAAGAAATTGTGACAGAAAAATTTGGCAAACATGACATTTCATCGCGTACTCCTAAGGTAAAGGGAGAGTACCATAAAAAGCATGGTAATTTCATGATCACGAAATTGTTTAAACTCTGCACATTCCATTTCACACTGCACAAACAAGTGTCAATAGCGGGTATGTCCTCCGTTAGCTCCAATGACAGCTTGGCAACGCCGCCTCATGCTTCCAACGAGGTTTTGAATGGACGCAAGATAGAGATTGTTCCATTCTTGGATCAGAACATTTTCAAGTTCCTGGAGGGTGGTTGGTTGTACAGGACGACGTGAAATCGCTACCTGAAGCATATTCCAGACATGCTCGATAGGGTTGAGGTCTGGAGAACGAGCTGGCCAGTCCATACTTAACAATTGTCTCACGCTCCAGGTACTTTCGCCCACCAATTCTAGCACGATGTGGACGGCATTATCGTCCATGAGGATGAAGTCAGGACCAACAGCACCAGCATATGGTCTCACGTACACATCCAGGACTTCATCCCTGTAGCGCCTCTCGGTCATCGTGGCTCTCGCCTTTTAGGACATGGAGATCAGTTCGCCTAGCTCGACTGATTCCTCCCCAAATCATCAACGCACCCACCACCATATCTGTCGTGGTTCAGCAACATTAGCGTCCTGATATCGCTCCTGCCCTTCTCTCCACACTCGCGCACTCCACGATCTGTGAAGTCAACACAAAACCTCGACTCGCCTGTGAAAGTACAGGGGCCCAATCAACAACCCTCCAATTCACATGAGCCCTGGCCCAATTCAAACGATCTTGTCTGTGTCGCTGAGTAAGAGGGATGCTAATACAGGCTCTCCGGGAACGAAGACCAGCTTCATGAAGACGATTACGCGACAGTTTGGCGTGGAAATGTTAACTCCAGTTGCATTCAGAAGATCATTTCTAAGCTTAGAGTCGCCGCTGTAAACCCGATGACGTTGTGCTGAAATCAAGAGAAAACGGTCATCTTGCTGCGTGGTGGACCTTTCTCGTCAGCTTCCATGTCGATGAGAAGCTGAACCATGAGCTTGATACGGTATTCTAAGATGCCTAGCGTTAGAACAATCGAAAAAAAAATACATTATCAGACAATAAAGGTATAGTTTTTGATGACGTAACAATTGAATGACGCTATCCCGCCACAATGCGCCATTCTAGTGTGCCCCTCAGAATCGTAACCATTTTACATTACGCCACAATGTAAGCCACGCCACGATGCATGTCAGTTGTCATCGCCGCACGGCCTCCTACAGTAAACTACACCGCTGCATCCCAGTTTCTTGGTTTGCTGTTGCTTCACGCAGCTAACATCACTGGTGGAAACATTACGCTTATGTTTTACGACGGTTAAAATGTGTCATTTCGACTCACAAGTTTTCAGCGACACGGTAACGCTCGCGAATGTTTACATTCCCACAATGCAATTGTGGAATGTCGCTTTGACTACTCAACTTCCTCTGGATGTACTGATCTAAACTTACGCTTGGTAGTAGAAATGCAACGCTCATATTGCCCCATATGGTTTACGCAATGACAGATGTAATTAAAATAATTCAGAGAAGATATTTAATCCGAACGTAAACCGCCATCAAACTGTTATCATTTGTTTTTTCTGGTAACGCTCGCCTTAACGAGGGGCAGACACATCAATAGAACAGCCACCAGTTAGCCCTGTGCGAGGATTCTTAATTTAGGTCACCGACACCGCCGCTTGTTTTCTGCCTTAAATTAATCGTAATTATCCTTAGAAAGTATTAAATTTGGCATCTTAGAAAAGAAATATTGTTTATTCTACCACCATGTATAGTAGTTAAAAAACATTTTTCGCCATGAACTATTATAATCGTTAGCACTCGGACGCAAGCCGCCCTCGCGGCTTTAACTATAATAGTTCAGGGCAAAAGTGTGTTTTATTACACTATACATGGTGGTAGAGCCAAGTGTATTTCTTAATCTATCCCGCACCTCAACCATGCTGGATCACTAGTATGGTGCCTTAGCCAGCTCGCCCACCGCACTCGCCCATCGCATAGAATGTAGCTTGTGTATTCCTGAGTGCAACAAACACAGTGTGCAAACTTCCTGGGTAGCAGCAGTTGTCTCCCTTATGTTGTTGGTCAACCACAGGTTCACCTGTTCCCTGGGTGAATACAGACGGCATTAATACAGCCGAAACACTGCTGATTTAGAAATGTTCCTGCTCTCTCCCGTTCAAGATGACTAATCACATATGTCACTCTTAAGCAGCCGGAACACTGTAAGGTGTGGCATGAATATAGCAAATGAAAACATTATTTAACATTTTATTGTTTGCAGATATCATATATACGGAGAACAAGATTCTGTACATTGCCAAGTGACAGTCAATTACAGTCAATTATTACAGTGAAGCCAGGAAGGAACACATCAACAGATGACACTAAGATACTACATACTGGATACGCAATCACCAAAATCAGGACATATTTGATGCATAGGGGATTAAAGCATAAAGCCTGGATGTGTCTTGAGGCAAAACACGATACAGTACACAAATGACTTTCAGAGATACAAAAATAAAAAATAATTATAATCAAGCTTGACCTAGGCTTATTTTTCCTGAAAAATGATTATTAATTATTGACATATCTGACAATATCTTTTATAAAAGCTAAGAAATAGAAACAAGGCTGGGATTTACCACTGAGTATCCTCAGCAAAATTCACCATTTCCAACTGTGCTAATGATTAAACTGATCTGTGTGTAAGCACAAAATGTGTTTCTTAAAGTAGAAAAGGTAACTTGGGGAGATAACAAACTTATCACTTATGTCATGTCTTGATAAAGTTAGCCAATAAAAGCAGTTCTACAGGGAAGTTACTGGTCCCACACAAAGAATGGCCAAAAAAACCTAGAAGACATTAAACATGTATTTGCATCTCATCACAAATATTTTTTTCCAAATATTTTCTTTTTGTCCTGGGCTATAACTGATTAGTAATAACCGACACTTGTATGACAAGGAAACGGAGGCGAGGCTTGAAATAGTTTCACCAATTTCTCACACTTTATTATTAAAATATTCTGATCAATATTCCACAGGAGGTAAACTGATTGAGTGTGATTGAAAATACAGCGACTGACCTTTAATGTTTTTCATCTTAAATTTATCAGACCATATCAAGTGCTAACTGGTACTAGAAAATTTTAACTATAAATTGTATATTTATAAATACTGATCTCAATGTTTTGAAGCAGAATGTGTCAAAACACTCGACACAACAACTTAAGAACTAAATAAATTAGGACACCCAACTTTATAATTATTATAGAGATATAAAACATAAACCACTACAAGGGCTGTAAGAAATATGTGGATTTAAAATCAGTGATACACAGCCAAGAATGATCCTTAATGAATCCAATATTGTGACTGACAGTTCAATCTACTAATTATCTTGAGGTGGTTTTGTAGATGATATACACATACATACTGACTAGACATTTGAGGTCATTAGCTCTTTAACAAATAATTGCCTATAACATGAGATATTGTTAATGACTTAGTTAATAGATCCTCCAACACAAAATTTAGAAAAATAAATTGAAAGGTCTCTCATCCCAATGAAAAACAAAGTCTGTTAACTTGTAATTTAGTACTGAAAACATCAGGGAAGACGCACACTCTTGTTTAAAATTTAAAAAAATGCACCTTAAATTAATTTCTGTTTCATTAAACTGACAATGTATTAATAAAGCACATTCATCATATGCCTAAAGAGCGTTGTCTCAAATATTCTTTTTTGCACCTTTCTAGCCTCTGCAGGAAGGTTTAGAAAAAAATCCTAAAATCCAAGTCATCAAAAACAGTCCTATGAAGTGTCATTCAAATAGTTCTCCACTGAACAAACTCGTTATATCAATCACTGTAATTTTGGTATTTATGACATTTGATTCCAAACTTTATCTAATAACACAACTTTTAGTTCACTTTAGCCCACTGTTCCCTGGTATTTGACTGTCTCTTTCAAAATTTGAAGTTCTCGAAAAATCAAAAAGATAAAAACTTCTTTCTGAAAGAATAATGTCACTTATTTCACATTGAAAATATGGCATTCAGCAGCCAATGAAAAAGGCCAGTTGTTTTAATTAGCATCAACATTGGCAGAAATTCATTGCAAGCCATCAGAGCCTTTGGCAAAACCACAGAATATTCCGGCTCTTGTAATCAATAATTGAGAAGGAAAAAAAACGCACCAACAGATCTTGTGATAGCAACAGTTATACAAAACAAGTATCCTCCTTCAAACCATAACAACTAGTCTATCTACATCAATAACATTTCACAAGCTCCCATACAATGATATAAGGGAAACATTTCACCTAAAAGTAGTTGTACACCAAATAGTAGATGTAATATGCAAGTACTAATCTATATTAGGGAAAACATTGTGTTCCTTCCAGTATCAATTGATACAGAACTCAGAAATAGTTGTTTCTTTTTAAAATTATGTGGACTTTAACAAGTATGTAGGAACTGTAATAAAATGGTGATGTTTTGGGTTTTTTAGGTTAGGACTTCATGGGAAATAAAATTATGTGTTTAATTATACATTTTTCTTTATCTGACTATCTCCTGTCAGTATTGTAACCACCGTGTAATGTCTGGTATTTCAGTATATTGCACAACTAAAATGGCAAACACACCTGTAAACAGGTATAAAATGAGCAGCACCCAAGTGTGGTTAACTATGGATACTTGAAGTAGATTACCATGGATACAGATTCCTGGAATGGTTGCCATGGATACGCTTAAAGTCTGGCTGACCATACTGATAATAAATTATACTACATCCCTTCTCCTATGTTGACATTATTGCAGGGTAACAGATTGATAATAGCATTTCATTGGATAATTATCAATATATCTGCAAATGTTTAAAATAACCTCAAAACATACAAAATCTATCTGAAAGGCTGCAGGAAAACAACAGTTCAATACATTTTTGTTTCTTAAAGCAACCATTGGTCTGGCAAATGAAAGTGAGTATTCCTTTCAGCTTGTTAGTGTACATGATGTGTGTGTGTAATCAAGGCATAGTTTGTTCTAGGTGTACAACCAACAGCACTGTGAATGCATACGAATAAATACAGCACTGGCACCTTGCTTGTCAGAATCTTAGCACAAGGATTACGAACAACAAATAATAAATTATGTCTCAAGCTGTGTCATATTCATGTCACAATCATGGAACACTATATTTTTCAAACTAACTCTTCACAATTTGTATGCTTGCGTTAACGGGTAGGTACTACGTACTTTTCTCAGTGGCTATCACTAACCAGGTATTACGAAAAAAATGTTTTAATCAACAAGGAGGTATTTAAGTAACCACTCGGTAAATGCAAGGACACATTCTACATGTACTCAAGCGTGGAAGACCCCACAACAGGAACAGAATAATGTATGTACAACAGCTAACAATTCTGAAAATCTGGGATCAAGCAAGCAGAGTTGGTCAAATATGATATATATTCTTCAGAAAATATACTTCCTTAACTCCAAACACACTTTCAATGTATCATGACTACTGATAATTTCAAGCTGTTTGTAACTCAAACTTGAATTCATTAAACACCTCTCATTTATGCTGTCCAAAGTTATCTTGAGAGTGATGCAAAGCAGACAGAGCTTATTTGGAATACACTGAATACAATAATGCTTCCGATATCAAGTCCCTAAAATTAAACTATGTACCGGTAATAAAATATCAAAATTGGAATTAATACTGCAGCATAGATGCCAACTTTCCCAAATTATGATTAGTATTTTGTATGATGTTACGGTCAGGACACCAAAGCCATACAGAAAACTTGAGTCGTAAATTTTATAAAGAGTTCCTATTTGGACTGACTGACTGACTGACCGACTGACTGAGTTTGGTTTTACGCCGCTTTTAGCAATATTCCAGCAACATCACGGCGGGAGACACCAGGAATGGGCTTCACACATTGTACCCATGTGGGGATTCGAACCGGGTCTTCGGCGTGACGAGCCAACGCTTTAACCACTAGGCTACCCCACCGCCCCTATTTGGACTGAAACAATTTCTGGTCATGTGTGAAATGTTTCATTTGAACTTATCAAACCCATAATCAGACTTCATATCAGTTTTATAAAACAGATGTGTCTGCAGCAGATGGTGTAAGGTTAAAATTTTACCCTCTCTTCTATGAAGAATATTCCCTTGCAGTTTCTTTCATGAAGATTGGCATATGATTTGTATGAAACAAGCAATAACTTGTATTTTAGTTGCAAATCCTAACAAATATGACGCATTTGGGACAGTTGGTAGCTTTGTGGCAGGGAAGACATGTTGCAATATTTCTTTGCTTCCTATCATTCCGTCAAACAGAACCATAACTAAATCTGACGACTAAGCAATTTTAATCAAGATGATTAAGTCCTAGCTGTATGAGCCTACAGAAGGAGGCCTCTCTTGAACTGATATACATAAGAAAACATTAACATATCCAGTGCAGGCCTATCACAAAGCAGTGATCTTACACCACTTGTTCGGGTACATAAGGCAACAGCCGTTTCAGATATGGCTGACACAGTCCTTTGTTTCCTACCCCTGCGGCTAAAGTCAACAGATAAATAATATATTACATGGACATTTACAAGAAATGCACATATGAGGATGTAGAATTATGTGTTAAAATGCCTCCAGGTCTAGAATGTTTTCCGATGTATCGCCTTGACGCCTTCCTCGTTATACTCGCGTTTCGACACCCACATCTTCTTGAATGTATCCAGGGAAGCAAGGATAGAACCCCTGGAACCAACAAAAAGTCATGGTTACAACAACGCTTTGTTTCAGTTATATGCCGTATTTCCTCTAATAAGCACCTGGTGTGCGTTTCACAAAGCGACTGTAGCGCTACGACTGTCGTAAGTCAATGTCAAAGTATGGGAGTTAGGATCACCTTAGTGCTACAATCGCTAATAAGTGCCAGGTGTAAAGCAGCTCACTAACAATTACGGTAATTAGACCCAGTAAGTTCAAAAGCACCAGGTCTCTAATAAGTGAAAAAATAAACGCTCAGGTGCTTATTAGAGGAAATATGGTAGATAACTTCTGTATGTCAATGTACTATTCTGAGGGAGATAAAAAGATATGAATGCAACAAGATATATTCTAACAATGTTCGTTTTAATCAACATTTTGTTTTGTAACGTTTCAATGCAAAGGAAATGAAACAGCATGTGATTCGGGTTTAACATGGCTCAGTATGTCAGATGTGTGATGGCAGATCAACCTTTCATGGAAGACTGACTGACTGACTGACTGAGTTTAGTTTTACGCCGCTTTTAGCAATATTCCAGCAATATCACGGCGGGGGACACCAGAATTTCATGGAAGAAAAGCCATCTGTATGGATCACAGATGTTTAACACTGTTTGGAACAAAGCAGCAATGGTTTGGTGCTGCGGAACCATTAGCAGGGCTATTCTTGGACTCTAGGAATCACTGTGTTCTGGCATGCCTTAGGCATACAACTGCAGTGACTTGGTTGACTTGATAACCCCCAAACCAGCTTTGAGTGAGTGATTGAGTTTAGTTTTACGCCGCGCTCAGCAATATTCCAGCTATATGGCAGCGGTCTGTAAATAATCGAGTCTGGACCAGACAATCCAGTGATTAACAGCATGAACATTGACCTGCGCAATTGGGAACCGATGACATGTGTCAACCATGTCAGCGAGCCTGACCACCCGATCCTGTTAGTCGCCTCTTACGACAAGCATGGGTTACTGAAGATTAATATTCTAGCCTGGATCTTCATGGGTCAAAGCAGCTTTGAAATGACAACATGATACTAATACTACTTCTACTCTTAGTAATAACAACACAGCAAAGAGTTCACTCACCCAATCCATGTAGAATATAACCTTTCTTGGGGAGCAGATATCTGAAGAGAAGAGTTATCAACATCAGTTACAACATACTGTGAAAATATACTGAGAGAAACAAATAAAGGAACACAGAAAAAAATCAAGTGTTCCTTTACTATTTTCCAGTTTTCATCACCAGCTTTGAATAGCGCTGTGGGTGAAAATGTGAGAAACAAAAATAGGAACACTGCCATGAAGTGATGTTCCGTATTTGTTTCTCTCAGTATATTTTGAAGACAAATCAATCTGAACTGTTTGGACTTTGCAACATGAACAGAAGTTCAATTAATTGAGAAATGATTCACATTTCATATTCAGGGTTTTACACAGACTTTGAGAGACAGAGAGTCATTGTGACTCACAGTATTTATTTTGGGGAGTCATTTTCAATGTTTGGGAGTCATGAAATTTTTAGTGTAATATTTATTTGTGTATATCAAAAAGCAAGAGTTTTGCAGAGATTTTGTTGTGTGTTGTATTGCCATTTAAATGTTACCGGAAGTTAATAAATAGTTTATTTTTCACAGTTAAAATCAGTCATAACAAAATCCAGTAAACTGAACAAATAATCATGCTTGTGATTTATTCACTGTAGCATACAGTTATTAACATGAATTGAAAGAAATATCTAAATTAATGAAAACCTCATGAAAACTTTCATTGTTTGCTTATCAAATCAATTTTATTGAACTGAATTCTGGGGGGTCACTCATAAAACTTACGCCAAGCTTGACTCGTACGATAATATTTTGAGAGTCTTTTACAAAATTGTTGCATCAAATACGCAGGAATCACGTGTCATGTAAAACCCTGCATATTGATACTAGTCCTCTAGCCCGAGACTACTCAACTGTGCTGAGGACAAACAAACATCACATGATGGTTGTCTTTATTAACTAATAAAATTTGAATCTTTGATCGTTTGCCACTTCTCAATGCTGTGAGCTGTGATTTTGCTACAAGTCAGTCTACAAGTCAGTGGTCTAGTGACATATGACCCCTAGTTTGTCTTAAACAGTACCCTGAATTTCTAAGGTTGCAATTGGCTCTCAGTAAATAACGCTCAAACAACTGTTTGCATTTGTGAATGCTACTTCGTTTTGCATTATCTTGGTGGCTAACTCAGTTATTGTCTGATAGAATGAGTGAGTGGGTGAGTGAGTGAGTGAGTTTTATGTTGCACTCAGCAATATTCCAGCTATATGGCGGTGGTCTGTGAATAATCAAGTCTGGACCAGACAATGCAGTGATCAACAACATGAGCATCGATCTACGCAATTGGGATACAATGACGCGTCGACCAATTCAGCGAGTCTGGCAACCCAATCCCGTTAGTTGCCTCTTACAACAAGCATGGGTTAGGCAATTACTAGGAATACTTACCCTAATCTTGATATCCTTAGGTGCTAATTTCTTCACTTCACTAAGTAGTCGATCTCCAAAACCTGAAACAAACAAGGAAAATGTATAGAGTTCAGCTGCTAGTGGTACAGGCAGTGCAATGAAGAAAGACTTGTGCAATCAGCAAAAACAATAAAATATTTTCAATCAATAATAGAGTTCCTCTACTTTCAGTAATCCCATGATAATACCTATGAAGGAAATCACACAGCTGCAAACTTTCCCGAACTACAAAAAGTATTTGGTTATGATCTTCTGTCGGGAGATCAAACCTGACAATACAAATTGTCTCCAGTGTAAAATCTTTGATTTCAGAATCTCAGTTGATAATTTTTAATGCTTAGAATCTATTCTGGCAAAAGCAGCACTTGAATAATGCAAGTAGTGTGTCTTGACTACAAAGATGAAACACCAAAGACTGCATACAAATTGAGCAAATGGTTTCAGGTTAAATAGACCAAGTCTATCTTGGTGTCTATACACATTTACTCCTTATGAGTGCCACACTATTTTTATGAGTGAGTGAGTGAGTTTAGTTTTAAGCTGCACTCAGCAATATTCCAGCTATATGGTGGCGGTCTGTAAATAATCGAGTCTGGACCAGACAATCCAGTGATCAACAGCATGAGCATCACTCTGCTCAACTGGGAACCGATGACATGTGTCAACCATGTCAGCAAGCCTGACAATATGATCCCCTTAGTCACCTCTTACGACAATCATGGGTTACTGAAGATTAATATTCTAACCCGGACCTTCCCGGGTTCTTTTTTTAGGAATTAAGGAGGAAATCATGTCATCTCTTAGTTACCATTCATATTACAAATATTTGGGGAAAGCTGTGAATGAACAAAGTTTTTCTTGTCTGCTTCCCCAAACTCTTTGTTCATGAAGAATATCTATCTTAATGCTGTTTCAGAAAGGGAAATAGGATTACAGAGTTACAAATACTTAAAATACTGATGTCTAGAGAAAAATAATTCAAACATTTCAAAGTTTTTCTACCTGTAGTTCAAGCAATATGTAAATGTGACAGTACCTTTAAATAATGTTGATCCACCGGACAAGACAATGTTAGAAAATAGTGTTCTCCTGAGATCCATGTCTGACTTCTGTATGGAGTATGCTAGCACCTCGTGAATACCCTCACATTCCTCACCAACCAGGTCAGGTCGGAACAACAGCTCTGGAGCTCGGAATCGAGCTGGTCCAACCTGTAGTGTAAACGATTTTCAACTACTACATCAAACATCATGACAATGGAAAACATGTAGGCATCCAATTTTTAACATCAGGCCTGTAAAAAAACCTTATAAAACAAAAACCAAAAAATTCCTCATGAAGGCAGCGAATATAAGGGGAGATAATCGGATGTTTCTTGAAATTATCTCCACTTGTACCACAGATGGCTTGGGAATTGTAATGAACTGTACAAGTTTGTGTCTTGTTAAAACAAAGTCCTCAATTTCTTTGACACCACATGCAAATTGCCATACCCAATATATATGCACAATGATCCCAAAAGGTGATTTATTCTCAGGTTACAAACAAAACTTATGCAAACACATGACACCTCCACTCACCATTGTCTTATTTGTATTTGGAATAGATACAGTCGGCTGCACACTATTGATCCATCTACCCAAAACCTGGCTGTAAAGCACCATTTTCAAATTTGAGTGTTTTGGATGGACCATATCAGCTAAGCCTTCCAGACAGAACTTGTTTACAAGACAAGTTTCTCAAGTTGCACACTAGGAAAATTCTCTTCCCACAGAGGTTACTTGTCATATCTTCCTACGAACCTCTGTTCTAATACGGCCATATTTCCCAGTTCTCGTAAAATCCCCTAGCAGCAAAAGATCGCAACACGAATTATCTCCTTTCTTTCTATCCAATCAGAACACGTGTTACATCGACTTAGATTCAACTTGACTAACACAAGCAAATGTGGGGCTACAAATATCCCCCATCTGCCGGGGACTTGTGCTGATGTTACACACAAGACGTTTAATGGCTAGCTTGTCCGTTGTCAACGAGGGCGATGGAGACGCCACTGATCCGCCATAACATGACTGAGTTCTGTCTAGAAGAAACGTTTGCGCATCACGCAGGGGAAGAGGTTTAGTTTTCTCGAAGCATACGGAAATTACCGAGGCCTTGCGAATGATCACTTTTGAAACAACGTCGCTGATTGCACAACTAAATCTGATTGTTTCCAATCACGAGTCTTGAACGCTCACACCATGAAAGGGCCGTATTAGAACAGAGGTTACGTAGGAAGATATGACAGGAGTAACCTCTGTGGGAAGAGAATGCACTAGGTAAGGCTGACTGCTATATTAGTGAAAGAGACAGTGACTCACCTCAATGACGTTACCGTCGGGCAGTGCGTACTGTACTTTTTCCGTCTCCATGCTCTCCTCCTTCAGGGGATTGATGGACAAGTAGCATGCTTTCTGCAACAAGATGCAAGCATCATTGAAAGTTAATCTCAATAACAATTCTCAATAACCATTTCTCATTGATAAATGTCAAAAAAGCCATGGTAAGACTCAAGTCAAAAGACACTCAGGTGAGATTCTCAAAGTATCAACTTTCTGTCAGTTCTGACAAGCTGAATAAGGAAAACATAATAATCTTCAAACCTACACACAAAAATGACTTTTAAAAAATTATTGAGTGTGTGACAGAATTAATGATGCTTTGAACAGTATTCCTGTTATCACACAGTACAGCAATATCGGAGGAAAGTGTTGCAGACATTTACTGGTACAGTATTCCTGTTATCACACAGTACAGCAATATCGGAGGAAAGTATTGCAGACATTTACTGGTACAGTATTCCTGTTATCACACAGTACAGCAATATCGGAGGAAAGTGTTGCAGACATTTACTGGTACAGCATTCCTGTTATCACACAGTACAGCAATATCGGAGGAAAGTGTTGCCGACATTTACTGGTACAGTATTCCTGTTATAAAACAGAACAGCAATATCGGAGGAAAGTGTTGCAGACATTTACTGGTACAGTATTCCTGTTATCACACAGTACAGCAATATCGGAGGAAAGTGTTGCAGACATTTACTGGTACAGTATTCCTGTTATCACACAGCACAGCAATATCGGAGGAAAGTGTTGCAGACATTTACTGGTACAGTATTCCTGTTATCACACAGAACAGCAATATCGGAGGAAAGTGTTGCAGACATTTACTGGTACAGTATTCCTGTTATCACACAGAACAGCAATATCGGAGGAAAGTGTTGCAGACATTTACTGGTACAGTATTCCTGTTATCACACAGTAAAGCAATATTGGAGGAAAGTGTTGCAGACATTTACTGGTACAGTATTCCTGTTATCACACAGAACAGCAATATCGGAGGAAAGTGTTGCAGACATTTACTGGTACAGTATTCCTGTTATCACACAGTACAGCAATATCGGAGGAAAGTGTTGCAGACATTTACTGGTACAGTATTCCTGTTATCACACAGAACAGCAATATCGGAGGAAAGTGTTGCAGACATTTACTGGTACAGTATTCCTGTTATCACACAGCACAGCAATATCGGAGGAAAGTGTTGCAGACATTTACTGGTACAGTATTCCTGTTATAAAACAGAACAGCAATATCGGAGGAAAGTGTTGCAGACATATACTGGTGAAGCCTATATATAGGTATGGCACCGACAAACCTACAGCTTGTTCAGCTTGACCTGAGCTACTCTACATATGCATGACCCGGGAGGTCAAAAGGCACAAACGGCAGGTCAAGTTAACTTCATTAAAAAGGGGAGCAGAGAAGGTTATTAAAGCCTAAAAGCCCGAATCGGAAACATTAAACCATCTCTAGCTTCCTTTTTAAAGAAAGTTAGGACATTGCTGACGATTTCTTAACACTGAGATGTCAAACGGCGACCTTGTCTCGGCTGTTGACAATGAACTGACAAAGGTGCACCCCTTCACAATAATGGACCCAACCAGTTGTGACCCGGTCACGCAATGCATAAGTATTCACTTGATCAGGTCAAGCTGAACAAGCTGTAGTAACACGATGTGGGTGAATCAGGTTCCTGTTGTGTAAAGGGACACAACTCTGTTAATCACTGTGGCACTTAGACAACAAATGAAACGATTATTTCTATGATTTTTTAATCAATGCTTCATCCATAAATTTATTAACAGTCTGAACTTCTTTGGCTCTACAATTACATGACGGATTAATGCTTACTTCTTTGATGGTTCTGACAGCCTCGAACTCGGCAGTGGTGTGGAAATCAAAACCTTCCTTCCTCAGGAGAAGCTGAAGGTAGCGTGTGACATCTCGCCCAGCGATATCAACACGCATGATACTGTGTGGCATAGCAAAGCCCTCGTAGATGGGTACAGCATGGGTGACACCATCACCAGCATCTAGCACCACTCCTGTTGTTCTACCAGTGGCATATCTGAAACAATACATGGGTGCTTCATGAAAAAAGTAGCCCAGTAGATTGAGCAGTTCTGGGCACAATCACACACTTTCATAAGGACGCACTACACATGACAAGGAGTGAGTGAGTAAGTTGGGTTTAATGCTGCTCTTAAAAGTATTCAAATCATATCAACTTAAGCCGGAAATTAAGTACCGGTAGGTTTCAAATGTTCACCACTTTGGTGAAACACACAAGCACAAACATTAAACACCATTGGGGTTGAAATAATTTGACTAAAACATCACTAAAATATCACTGGGTTTCAGTGCGTGAAAGGGATGCAACTGAAACTGCCTTGGGACTTAGGCCTAAAAAACAAAATGTTGTGGTTCCCATTACCCGACCGACCCTTGAATTCTGGTGCCGACCCTAGTTTTTTAAGAGATGAATAAAATAAGCTTTCAGATACCATTGTTTTTGCCCGGCATCAATGGACATCGGTCATGCTGATAAAGAAAGTCGACATGATGGCCCCAAGCTTGATTGAATAAACAATTATAAATTGATAAATGTGTTATTAGTTCATACTTTACTTCTAAAAAAAAAGAAAAAGAAAGAAAGAAGAATTCCTACCTACCTACCCTAAATTTTAAAGAGGTGTAATCGGAACCACAACATTTTTTTTATTTGGCCTGACTGACAAACCTAGAAACATAATCAGGGGAACTATATTCTCACATGTCCCTTGAGTACAACTCATGATAAATGAAATTCTTAAATGCTTCACAGTCATCACAATTAAGCACCACACGTCACCATGGAGACAGAAGTACTCACAAACTAAGGACAGCCTGCAAGGATATGAAGAGGGCTGGAACATTGAAAGTCTCGAAAAATATTTCAGCAGCCTTCTCCCTGTTCCTTCGGGGGTTGAGAGGAGCTTCTGTCAGTAACACAGGGTGCTGAAACAGTGCAATGGCTGAGACATGTACCTAACTAGATATAACTCCTTCATGGAGTGGGTGGTTGGTTGAATGGTTGGTTGAGTGCTTGTTTGAGTAGTTGCTTGAGTGAGTGGTTGATTGAGTTTGTGTTTGAATGAGTTAGTGGTTGATTGAGTTTGTGTTTGAATGAGTGAGTGGTTGATTGAGTTTGTGTTTGAATGAGTGAGTGGTTGATTGAGTTTGTGTTTGAATGAGTGAGTGGTTTATTGAGTTTGTGTTTGAATGAGTTTGTGTTTGAATGAGTTAATAGTTGATTGAGTTAGTGGTTGATTGATTGATTGAGTGAGTGAGTGAGTGGTTGACTGAGTTTAGTGTTACGCCTTTTTTAGCAATATTCCAGCAATATCAGCTGGGGACGCCAGAAATGGGCTTCACACATTGAACCCACATAGGGGATCTAACTCCAAGAGGTTGATTGAGTGGTTAATTGGGTGGTTGATTGAGTGGTAGAGTGAGTGGTTGAGTTAAAGGTAAAGCCGTATATCTGTAGTAACATTAAATAGCACACAAACAAAGGCAAGATACTGATCTATAATACAGAGTACTGTTCAGACATTTACTGATCTCATCATATTTTTCAGTACATTATTCTGAACAAAATTCAATTGCATTAATTGAAATGAAATTACATTGCAAATTTTTGTTAATGATTCTGGAACTAGAGTGTACAAAACTTTCCAAAATGTTCTTCAATGTGCACTAAAATGGTGCTTTAATGGAAGATGACAAATCATGAGGGAAGCTAAGAACTTTTCTAGTGATTCATAGCAATGTAATAGCAGCCAGTAAATGTGAGAGAAGTGATACAATGCTATGATTCTGTATCAGTCTACTGCCAACAAGTGTTGGGAATTGGTTAAAATCTCATAATTGATGACTGGTTCATTACAACCAATCAATCATCGGAAATAATTGGGTAGTGTCATTTATCAAATGTTCCCGTTATCTTTGTTAATGCACACACAAAAATAAAGAAATAAAAAAAACGTAGTTTTGGGGGCTTTTTAGCAAATTGCACAAAATGCATTTGCAAATTTCACATATTTAAAGAATGACAAGTATGTTAGGAACACAAATTTCCTGGAGTCTTTAAGATAAATTCAATTTTGATTTGGAATGATCTTGCAGTGATTATGAAATGTAAATTTAATGACACAGATAAAACCAACCTTGTGAAAAATATTGTTGATGCAAACAAGTGTACCAAATTTTTTTGTGGTCGATTATGAGAAAACTTGTTCGATTGCTTGGTCGTCTAGTCACTGCGTCCAATCTTCCATTATTTTAATTAATCGGACCACCACTAGTGCCTACCTCCTCGGAGAAAGTCTGTAGTTGGTCTTTGGAGTATATGTACTGCCAGATCCGTTCCATGTCATTCCAATCTTTCACAATTCCGTGCTCCATTGAGTATCGGATGGACAGCAGACCCCCGATGTTCCTATATAAGGAATGAAGCATTCTAAGGTAGCTAGCTACATCACCTAATTCTTGTAGCTGTAGAAATCTTACTTGAAAGCTTTGAGTTTTATAACATAATATCCTGGCTAGCTATTCTCGAAACGTTCGTAGCCCTACGAACTTCTTAAGCCCATTCTTAACACATTGGCTACGATCAAAGTTAAGAATTCTTAGGGCTACGAACGTTTCGAGAATAAATGCCCTGGTCATACTTGAGCCATCAAAATGCCAAATGATGACACACAACTTTACGCATAGATGAAGAGGAAATTGTACATGAAAATTTTACAAATGAAGACTACACTTTCAGATAAATATTTGTAAATAAATCTAAAAGTTTTTTGACTGCATGTTGGCATGATGTTATTACACATGGGATCTATTGACTACATTGACCATATGTTCAGAAACAAATATCAGAACAGTTCAATTAACTTACAAAACCCTAAAAAGTTAAAGTATATTTTTTATGTAAATCATCAAGCCATTCTACATTACTTACTTCATCTACAAATCACTAAATCAGTTTGTTTATATATGCTCTTATCCCTAACACAAAGAAGGATTAATGCTGTGTGTACACCTGTATCAGATAACAAAGGTACCTCTCAGACTGTACCAAAACATACTCTAGTTCAATCTAATGGCTCTCGCCCCTGAGGCCAAGCATCAAACTCTCAAAACATTACAAGCATTAAGACAAGCTATTAAATCCTGCCAAGATGGGTTTCAAGTCCTTCCATTCTTCTCTCACCTCAGCCTCAGGTCCCAGGAAGAGGTCGCCCTCCAGGGCACCTGCCATGACCCGGACATGCTTAGGGCGGCCAATGCTGCAAGTTAAACACAGACAACTTGTAGTTGTGTTTCTAGACTGGGCTGTGAAAATAAAGTTATGTCAGCCAGACCAATACATGACATGGCTGCCTTTACTGCCAGCTAAACATTCACCAGTTTGAAATATTTTAATCCTCAGGGTATACTTGTCAGTGACAAATATTTCAAACCTCAAAAAATGTGTATATATTTATAAAATCAGCATGTCAATATTATCAAATGATGGCAGACGATCACTTCTCATGGGTTACCCCACAGTGGGAACTGTTCAAGGCCTGCTTGCTATATTCCAACATCCACATGGCAGGCCATGTTAGACATGAAATATTGTCCAAAGAAGGACTAAACCACACTCACTCACTTAAAGTACAAATGAAGAGTGCAAAGAGCCAAGATGTATTTATTAGCATTATTGTATGTCAGTATCATGGAACACTAGAAATTTCAGGAGAATGGCAAATGTTTGTCAAAACGGTAAAGTTCCAAAACCTTCTACATAATTCACTTCTGTACATCAACAAATAAAGCAAAGCACATTCTGTCCCATTAGGCTATACTAATCAAATTTGATAGACTGGGTTTCAGTTCTCAATGTGACTGACTGCTTGGATATGTTGTCACACAAATAGTTTTCAAATTAGTCATGATGCTGAAGCATGTGCAGTGTCAATTCAAGTTGTACAAAAATACACATTCCAATTAGTTTATTGCTGCCATCACAAAAAAAAAAAAAAATTCCAATTAGTTTATTGCTGCCATCACATTTCGTCATAGTATCAAATATCGCTGTATGTTGAGTACATGATGATCCTTTATACCTTTCTTGATTTCAGAAATAAAAATAGATCCTTATCTCATAACATAAAACAATCAAAGTACAAGGTATTTTCAAGAAACTGAATGTGCCAGGATAGTGATTATGAACCCTGAGAGCATCCACACATGTCCTGTTCCCAGTTGCTACGTGATCAGTACTGCTTTTCATATGTATTGTGTACATTTTAGTATAATCAATATGAAATGAAACAGAATAACTGATCAATACTGTACTGCAGCAGCTGCATAAAGACTAACGGTGACATTGCCATGCTGGTCGACTAGCTGTTACTCCCACTGCATAAAGTGCTACTGTCAACATCAGATAGTATTGATTAACAGTCTGTGTCATAACTGCTGTTTTGTTATTTGTGTTATATTCAGTTAATGTACAGTTATGATTCTGAAATATTACTAACAAGGCATTTGAATTCAATATTCTTTATTAGGCTGAAATAATGCAGATATGACATTAAATTTGAACTTCAATAATTTTAGTAATATTACCTGCTTTGTTTCTTTTTAATAAAAATATAGACTTGTTCACTACCAGCAACTGTAATCCTTTTGTTTTTGAGAATTAGATAGGTTTAACATAATTCTCCACATAAATTGACTGCCAGTCACAGGAAAACTGACAAAAAACTGGGTCAGTAGCATGAAATGACTCACTGATGTAATGGTGCATAGCAATATTAATTTAATAAACATTTTTTTATAAATGGATCATAGCAATATGTATTTGTTTGTTGATTGATGCAATATTCCAGCATTATCATGACAGCTTATGAAGAGTCAAATCTGAACCAGACAATCCAGTGATCGATCTTGTGAACAACGCTCCATCAGAGTGAGATGCTTAGCCACCTGATCCATTTGGTTGTTTCTTACAACCAGCACACATCCTTGAAAATACAATTTTGACTTTGACTTCAGGACTGACTGACTGAGTTTGGTTTTACGCCGCTTTTAGCAATATTCCAGCAACATCACGGCGGCAGACACCAGGAATGGGCTTCACACATTGTACCCATGTGGGGATTCGAACCCGGGTCTTCGGCGTGACGAGCCAACGCTTTAACCATTACACTACCCCACCACCCCCTTGACTTCAGGAACCCATGCTAGTCAAAAGAGATGACTAATGGGATCGGGTGGTGAGGCATGCTGACTTTGTAGATATCTGTCATATCTGTATCATAAAATTCTAAAAACTAGGGCCCCTAGATTACAATTTAGTACAAACAGTAAATGAACCCCTTTATTTCAAACACTACTGATCGTCCACTGGTGTTTTTTAAGATAATGAGTTTAATAAAATATGGTTTTCTCAGATTTAACTTAGGACTACTTATCTTTTTCAAATTGGATATACCAGTATATATTCATATATATACACACATTACCACCATAAGTGCTTTTTCTAACCAGCATGTAACATATTTTGTCAGTTTGGATACATTAACTGATTTCACACTTGTGTTGGCCTTCTTCACAACACCTGCTAATGACATATCTTCCTACATGTCCATCTTACTCTCAGTGTGATACTGATGTAGTAAATAATCAGTTGGTTGGTTGTTCTATTGTTTAACGCTGCACTCAGAATTTCCAGCTATATGGCGGCGGTCTGGAAATAATCATGTCTGGACCAGATAATCCAGTGATCAACAACATGAGCATCGATCTACGCAATTGGGGTATGATGACATGTGTCAACCAAGTCAGCGGACCTTGATCACCCAATCCCGATAGTCGCCTCTTACGACAAGCATGGGTTACTGAAGATCAATTCTAATTTCGGATATTCACAGGTATGTAAATAATCAGATTTCAGCTTAGATAGGATCGATAAACCATCAATCAACGAGTACTGACCACTGCCAAAACAAGTTAACAGGCTAAATGACCAATATTAAGAATTTGAAAGGCTATATGTACAATTCAAGCTCACAACTGAAAATGCTTACACAGCCTGCTTACCAGCTAGTCCTAAAACTACGTTAACATACAGCAGAAAATGGGTACCCGGTGGGATAAGTCATGTGACTATTAACCATATAGCGCCTCAAAGGCAGCTTGGGTTACCTGGGGTAATAGCCAATGCTGTTGAGCACCGTATGTGGAAACTAGAAGCTATACAAATCCATCATTATTATTATTATTATAAAATGCTTACAAGCGGCAAATTTCCACGGCTCCTTATGACACCTTAACTACTGAACGGTCTGGCAAGAACTGTAGGACTAGTGGCAGTTTCTATCACATACAGTCAACTCTCGTTAATCCGACACTTGTGGTTGCAGAGAAATATGTCGGATTAATGAAAATGTCGGATTAATGAAAATGTCGGATTAATGTATTTGTGTGAAAATATCAATGTTTACTAAATGTCATGATCGTCATACTGTTGCATGCATATCAGAAATGGTAGATCTAGTTATCTTCATCGTATGTAAAAATATTCACAGAAATAAAAAATACTAACAATACATACTTGTTTTCATTCATTAACATTCATAGATGGCATAACATACATATATAATCACATAAGCGAACAGTTTCATATCTATTTCATGACCACATTGGCACAAAACTCACGCTTTGTGTTTACCGCATATCAGCTGCCATTATGACCCGGATGTTACAGTTTCCATACAACTAATTCCATAATAACATGTGGACGCCTAATGTACACTCAGGCGTATCATAACATATATAATTTATAACTTGAAAAAATCTTTGATGGTCATTTACATCAAACACATCTAAGTGGTGTGTCAGAAATGTTTGCAAAGTGTTCAACGATGTTTTGGCCTCAGATAGCTTGAAGCATTGGAATCAGTCATAGAGACGCTCAACCACTAAGCAGACTGCTTCAGGATGTCAGATACGGTTGATCGTCCAATCTTCACATCAAACTTCTGCTCAGCAAAAGTGATGACTTCTTGTTGTGTTGTCTGGGGTTTGTCTTTCTTCAAAAGGAGATTTCTTTCTTGATCAATGGCTTAACTTCTACAAGGGTCGCTTAGCAGGTGGTGTACTCGCGACCAATATCTTGTGATGAAAACTCATGTCGGTTGTATCATAAACATTTTATACAGCTCGCTTCCACTGTTATTTCTTGATTAAATCGTCTCAATTAATTATCCTGTGTTCCTAATTAACAAGTTTGATGTTCACTGACGCCGCTGTCAAGCAGCCAGTAAGGCACATGCTAATTATCACTCACGTGTGATTGTTTGTATACGGTCGGATATACGGCCGGATCATCCGACCGGCTGTGTTGATTGTCGGATTAACGAATGTTTTTACACTGTATTTACAATAATCAGCTGCTAGATTGGTGTGTCGGAGTCGGAATGCGAGAATGTCGGATTAACGAGAGTAATTATCACTGTTTTAAATGGTTCCCTAATTTTTTGTCGGATTAACGTGATTGTCGGATTAACGAGAGCTGACTGTACATGTATTAGATCACTTGAATAATTGTAATTTATCAAAGACAAATTGTCTCAGCTAATAGGGTAGCCATAACTTCAATGTCTGCATAATTCCATATGTACTATGACTCTATTTTTCTTAAAGAAGATCTCTATGCTTTGCAAACATACGGAAAATCAAAACATGTTAAAATGATGACTTCTTGTGTAGTGTTTGTAATAAAGAATCTGCCAACTTGCCATCAGAAACCATTTACTTTAAAAAGGTCCTGACTAAACTTTTCAGGGCTTCATTTAATACAAAAGCAGCTTATTGTGACATATAGATAAAAAAACATAAAGTAACTACTTGCTGAAAAGACCCATACAAATTTGAAAATACAGGAGAAATGTACCTAGCACAGGCCTTAAGGCAAGCGCTGACAATGTTCCTGCACCATTCAGATAGGGCCTTAGGACCCTGTATCAGCATTAGGGATGCCACCATGCAACTATCTTGCAATATGTGTTTCACAGTAAATAACACATTTTGATATGTGTCCCATATATAATTTGTAGTAATTTTTCATACATACATATTTCAAAAGGCATAAAAACTATCAAAATGGCTTGATATCTGGTCTCAAATTTTAACTATTAAACCAAACCATGCAAGTGTGTATATCGTCTGAGAATTTTGTGACTGCACTGATAGATTAATGAATTGTGACATCCCCAATAGCTAACCTTCTACAACCTTTGTTTAACACAAGGTTCTCTAATAGCAACTACATCAACTTACCAGTTAGGAAATATGTATTTTGGAACTTGATCTCCAGCAAATCCAGCTTTGATCACTCCAGACCCCTAAAACAGGAAAACAAAATGACTGACTGAGTTTAGTTTTACGCGCCGCTTTTAGCAATATTCCAGCAATATCACGGCAGGGGACACCAGAAATGGGCTTAACACATTGTGCCCATGTGGGGAATCGAACCCGGGTCTTCGGCGTGACGAGCCAACGCTTTAACCACTAGGCTACCTCACCGCCCCGAAAACAAAAGGAACATTCTGTTACACAGATTGATTTATTGTCCACCATGTTATTGTAATTTTAAACAGAATAATGTGAGGAAATAATGTAGCATTGGTATACGCAAAAACCAAATTTACTTTACTGAGTGTACACAGGTTAATCTCATATGTAGTAATGAAACTACTGCATTTAATTATATTTATTATTTCAGTCATGCTGACCTATTTCACAAAAAAAGAAAACACTACATTCAAACCATGTGTAAAGTATCTAGTATACCAGGCCTTGTGAATATAACTGATCTTGCAGAAATATAACTGTTGACAAATACCAACAAATAGACAAGTCTGAAGTATAGCGAAGGGGATACTTACAGAACATATTCTATTTGATTTTATCCTAACCTGCACATATCTTGCAGAAATACTACAAGAAAGAAAGAAACTAACAAATAAAGAAGACTGCTCTGCTGTAGTGTATGCTGAATCGTACCAACGTGTACTTTGATGCAGGTCAAAAATAGCAACAACAGAATTGCACTTATAAAGGATTGGAACCAGAATCTCTAGACTTGCATGATGCAAAGATCATAACCGCTGCCCTAATTTCCACAGAGATACATACTCTAAGTTCCAGGAATGGCAACTTCATCACTCACAAAGCGAGTTCGTTTAATTTACCTGGAACAATGTGAAACTGAACTGTTTCTAATGTAAATCTTTCTCATTTGAAAATCTTTTGATGAATATTCTTGATACAAATTTAAAAAATCCAACACATACAAATATAAACCCGTTATGGTCTTCATGACCAAAATGAAGATTGCCCTCATGACTTATTTTCTTATTCACATGTTAATGGCATCAAGAGTTGTAAAAGACAATCAGTGCAGTTGGGCTCCGTTGTGGGTGATCAGTAAGATACAGCAATATTTGCAGAGAATACCATGGTTCATTTACAAGGTACACACCTGATGCCGATGTATGACCAAATGTCAAAAGAATGCAATCTGACAATCTATGTGTGAAAAATATGACAGTTGATGACATTGGACTCGTGAAAATATTGTAATGATACCAAATGCTAAAAAACGATATACACGGTTATTGAAATTACACAGTATTTACAAACAGACGAATGTATGAGTCATCGACACATCTTTCACATATCATTTCAAAGCCAACAAGTGCCCGGTTGGGACGACTGACAGGTCTAGCAGACGTTAAGCAGGTTTGAGCGCGATCCAGAGCTCAGAGAGTGAAACCGATTGCATTTCCACAAACTTACATTGTCTATGACAACGGGCTGGTTTGCAATTACATCGTAAGACTCCATAAAGACAGCTTATTCTGTCTTATTTGTTCGCTTTTATCGAGTGAACAAGTCTTTTCCCCTAATGATCATAGAACTTCCGGATAGACTGCATTGTGGGTACATTTGTCATTATGCTATATTCCTTACAGCTCATTTCATAGTAGAATCAGTTGTAAGCGTTCTATTGAATACAATACTTGTGATTATAGTCTTTACGACTGCAGTAAGTACATTTAAATCTATTTAATTGGCCCTTAGATTATAAGAAACCTTGTTAGAAATAGGAGATCTTTCTTCATTATATATGACATATAAAAGTTTGATGGATTTGTACAACTGTCTTTTCAATGACACACGCGCGCACACACACACACACACACACACACACACACACACACACACACACACACACACACACACACACACACACACACACATAATGTACACGATATCAGCTAACATATTCACCGATGAGATGTATGTAATGTGTGTACCTGCACTCACGCTGTCTCAAATCCACATTGTCTCAGCTTAGTGAACCTTTAGAATAAAAAGACCAAGTTGATTTATGCTACCTAGCTGTCTTTACTGAAAGTTACATGTAGGGTCAAATATATCGCCCACAAACAACGAAGCAGGATGTACATACATTAAATAATCTGTCTTTCAATCTCAAACTAAAAAAAAAGAGACATGATGTCTTTAAGAAAATCTAAACTATTTCGTAATAATTTACATATATTATTATGCATTAGAATAGATAGAATTCCGAGTGACCTAGTGTGCCATGGTGCGATGTATATTTCTAACATGCTGAAAAAACACAAACCGAAAATGATACCTGTCTATTGATAGACTAGGCTTATGATCCTGCAAGTAGCAACTAATGTTACTGTTCAATTTGCGCTACTGTTATAATCAAGGCCGTAAACAAACAAATTTCACAAGTGATTGATCTCGTTAACAAAATAAACATAGCCGACATCGTTGGCCCCAGCGATATGCTTCCAATTAGTCCGAAGGAAACAATCAAAGTGTGTTGTTGGTTAACATGTGCTAATTGTTATCTGTGTGTAACAAGGTTAATCAAGCGGGACACAGTCGTCACAAGTACCAAATGTCTGTACGAGTTATTTGTCATATTTTGTACTTATGCTGAACTTCAATATCGTTCATAACACATTTAAAAAATCATATCTGACCAATCTAACTGAAGCTTTGTAGACTTACATACCTACTGAAATATACCACAGTTCTTCTTGCCCGATGAAAGTATTTCAAGAAACAACAACTAGTTGTTCTGAGTATGTATTTTTTCAATCAAATTACGGTAAATCATTACTTTTAATCTGTATTGTTGAATTTTAAGGCTATTTGGAAAATTTCCTTTCGTCAATATACTGAATATACACGAAGAAAATCAACAATGAACTAATCCATAAAGCAACGTCACCGCGTGACTGTATGGGTGGTCCAACAGCGGAAGATGTTTTGGCTGTTCCACCAATCAGGCACGCCGACCGAAAGGGGTATTTGTTGCCGGCCACTGTATTGCTAGAGGTGCAAGGCACTTATAAAGGCATAACTTTGCAGCCAATATAAAGGCTAAGATTATATGTAAACAAACTGTCACCTGGGATTGCAGCAGTGTGAAATCAACCATATTTCGATCACTTTAATTACCGGAGGGAGAGGACGGAAGAGCCAGATGCCACAGTGAAGCTAAAGTAAAATGGAGGAGAGAGAGAACTTCTACTCGTCTACGGGTAGTTATTCGTCCACGCCCGGCGTTGCTTTGACTCCACCGGGATTGGAAGCAATTTATTCAGCATGTCGGAGACTTTACCCTACTCAGCCGAACCCTTTGCAGGTCACAGCTTTAGTGAAATATTGGTAAGTTTAACAAGATTTCATGTTGACAAGCCCTTTTTTGACTTCCATCAAAACAATGCTTCAACATCTTGCCATCTCGTATGATTCACTGTGTTCTGATTTGAGATCCTCAAACAGCAGCAACTAAATAGGACAGAACATTCTAACTCTTTGTTACTGATCAGGAAAACGAAAATTCGTCAGCTTCGCATGTCAGTACCGGGCATTTGACTGAGTCTGAAGTATCTGTCAGCATTCACTTGATTCTTTACTCAGGACTTGGCTTAGTAATACGTAACTTCTGTAAAGATTTCAGTCAGATAAATATACCATACAAAAACTCACGCACACTACCGCATTTTAATGTATGTTCGATTGATGAAGTTTTACATCAATTTCACCATGATTTATATGTTTTATTTGATGCGATTAACAGCATGGTATAAATGCCGGTCATAAATGTCTTAGGCATTCTAAGAATATAATTCATATTATTTATTAAATGATGGTGGTTCCCCCGATGGATTTAGTGTTGACTGAAATAAGTTTCGAAATAGATATAAGCTGAACTTATGTAGATACATTCAAACTATTTAATCAATGTATGAGGAATCATACTCTGCTATGGTTATGATCACATCATTCTGCAGAATTTAGGATGTGCTTATTCTGTATTTACCTGATGGATCTTCACTGTTCTTTAGAAATTCACAAATGCTAAAATTTGTTACTCATATTTTAGTTAGATGTTCCACAGATCAACCCATACATGACGTTTATTGCAAGTCTAATGTTATGGGCTGTATAATGAGTGAGTTAAAAAGTTAACCTTAGCATTATTTCCACCATATAGTGACTCTAAATTTTGAGCTTCCTCAGGTCTGATAGGGTAATTGAATCCAAGAACCCTGTGTATCTTTAACTGTCAAAATTATGGATTAGACAAGGACCCTCTCAACCATTAATTCTTTATTTCGAACAGTGATAAATGTTTTCCTGCAACTTAAATTTTAATCCATATATTTGTACTACTCAAAAAGTTCAATAAGAACTTATTGGTATATACTGACAGATACACTATTGTCATGTGTGACAAACTAAAGATTTTTGTAACTTCTTTTGAATAGTATATATAGTAAAAATGTTAATATGAGAAAAAGAAAAATGTCAAGTCTTCTTTATGGCCATATCGATGAGTTTGAATAACATAAAGAATACCTTTACAGTGATCATGTGATTGTCATAATTTTTCAGTGTTCGTCAGTTACCATGGTAACATGAAGTTGTGATTTATTACTTGGTAGTGTATTTTTGGTCGATGTGATACATATTTCAACTGTGACATCAGGATACGCAATTCATGAAACACTTCAGGCATCAGTGGAATATTGTGAGCATGTTTAGGAAATTACTGAAGCTTTTGCTCGCCTACACCAACAAGAAGAAACAGTACTTGTTGGCAGAGGCCCAGATAAGCTGCGTTATCCGGGTAAAATACGCATAGAAAATTTCCATTTACGCATTGAAAAATACTTCTTGCGTACCAATTACGCATTTAAAATGTTAGATACGCAAAAAGTTTAAAACAAATGCGTACGGAATATATTTATAAAAATCGCTTGCGTAATGAAAAAGACATTGATTGCTATCAAGTTGTACTGTAAGTATAGGATGAGTGATTTTTATGAAATCATTTCAATTATATTTAAGTTGGTTTTGAGTAGGTATGACATAAGGCAGAACATACCTGCTTAGTAAACTTACTCAATGACATAATACTTAGGTGAGTAAAATGACTGAAATACTCACATATTTGAAAGCAGTGGGTAACGGAAAATGAAAAACCCACTCAACATTCATAATACCCACTCCCCCCAAAATACAGTGAGTACAGTACCCACATGAGCTAAATCTTATCTGGAGCTCTGCCTGTTGGTATTCATTCCAGTTTCATCAGCACCAGGCAACTCTATTTATGCCTATAAAATACTTTTTGTCAATAAATGACATCATGACTCCACTGGATATGTTTACTGTGTCTTAAGGTATCATGATAAAACGAACTGTTAGCAATGTGTTCTGTCACCAAAACCCACATTAGAATTGTCTCCAGCAATTGATGCGTGTTGTTAGAGATGATGGATGATCTGATGGTCAGGCTTGATGACTTGGTTAATAGGTTGTTCTCATTCATTGATGGTGTGGATCATTCTCATAATACCAGTAATCACTGGATTGTATGGTCCAGATTCGATGATTTTGAGGCTGTTATCATTCAACTGGAATATTGCTGATTGCGGAGTTAAACAAAAATACAAGACCTAAACTATCCCTAGCTTGCTACAGTAGTAACTTGGGTTTGTTGATTTAAGATATATATATCAGGGGTGGAAATAACTTTAAAATTGCTAGTGTACTCCAGTACAGTGGCACATGTAAAATCACTTGCCCTGATACTTCTCCACTATACCATCCGATTTTCCTGTTGATTTTTTAAATAAGCAACATCATTAACATTGGAAAGTCAACTGGACACCGGTACAGCGTGATATACAAATTTGCTTGCCCAACAGAAAAAAACATTGGACTGGGGCGTCAGGCAATGTGTTATTTCCACCCCTGTATATTTCTTTGTAAAGTACACTTGTTTTCTCAAGCTTGCAGTGTTACATAATGCTGCCATTATTGCAACTGAAGAAAGTTTAAAACCAAGAATGCTCATTAAAAGAAATACAAAATGGCAAGATGCAAAGCTTTGAAAATAGAAAATATTGAAAGTATTCTAAAGAGAAATGTGCTTTAGTTTGATTCAATGTTTTCCCTATATGTGTCATTGTTATGCATATTGTCTGCCATGTTTTATTGTACAGAATTTGTGTGGAGATTTTGGGGACTTTGAAGAAAGGTATATTGTTAATATCAGACTGAAGGGAAATTGCTATCCCTTTTGTTGACTTTAATTCAGGAAAAATGTTAAATGTCAGCAATTACTTTGTGAAGACTGTTTTCGGTTCCGTTTGAATAAAATGATATTCATTCTGGTGAATGAAAAGAATATTACTTGGATGAAAGTAAGAATGTCATTCAGTTTTATGTATGAAAAGAACTACAGACAGCCATGCACTGAATGCTGTCTTATCAAAGAGGGAACAGTTTTCTTAAGGGCTTTGGCAAGGATGAGTATTGAAGGACATGCTCAAATAAAATGTGTTTAAGGATTCTGGGTGGCCAGGTAAGGAGGATGTGTTCAACACCAGAGATGATGGTATAATTCCATGCTTATAAATAACACAACTATGTTTGCTCTGAGCAGTGAAACTGCTGTGTGGTTGCAGAAAATTAACTGATGCACCATTTTATTAAGCTTGTTGATATGATGCGCAGTTGCATCAGACAAAACAGTGAAGCGTTTCACAAACTGTTTTCCTATCTACATGTCAGATGTTTTGAAGTTAGCATTGATAGTCTCTGGTACTACAAAGTCCATTATTAAGTCCCAGGGATTTACCTTGAGTCCTGTATTTCAGGGTCCCTGGTACTCATACTCTTAATTTCCAGGGGTCCTGGACAACAAAATGGGAGTCCCAGCCACTTAAATATTATTATTATTACTGTTATTGTATTGTGCATCATGATCATAACATTGTTACAGTAATTAAATTGCAAATAATACCATAACCCAGCTAGTAGCAAACTCAGTGATAACTTATTGTCAGTTGATTGGAATTTTTACAAAAAGTATTTGGACCTTGAGTCCCTGTGGATGTGCTAATAATTCTTTTTGCGTCCATAGTCAATTTTTATGTGTATGGGACGCAGGAATTCGCATCCTGTAAATCCCTGAGTCCAGTATTCTGAAGTAGAACAAGAAGATCATCATAATCATTGGAAACTCAATGGTGACTGATAAAATTGTTCTTTGAGTAATAAATATCCAGCAATAATAAGCATTAGCTCCAAACTGCTTCACATATGGTCATTATTAGATGAAATATGTGTAGTAAATGCTGCAACAAAAATAACATGGTATTCTAATTCTAATATATCATTTTTGACATGTTAATGGTTTGAGATACAAATTATTTTGATGTTTGGATGAAAATGCCATGAAATTATATTAATGGGTACTTTCTAACTGAATCACCAGTAGACAGGGAGAAAAAGTGTGCACTGCTGATTGCTATTTCCGGCATAGTTTACGATTAAACGCACATGCTAATCTTAATCCTGCATAAAAACAATGTCTAGCAGAGCAGGCAGCACAACTTCAAGTTTTGTTTGACTTCTCGAAATACTTGCATAATCTTAACATTATAGAGTAAATTTTTTTCCCTTTTGTAAAATTTGGGTAAAGGGGTTAACTGTCGAGATTCAGATAACCGGAAATTCATTTATCTAGCCATGTGAGAAAATACAAGTGTCCAGATAAGCGAGGTTGTATTATGAAGTCACTATTCAATATGGCTTATGCATATTGTTTAAATGTATCCGTTCATTGTATATCAAGAACAATATTTTGTGATACATATATCATCAAGACACAATATATTGTACACTGCTATGCATACTGAACAAAAATGATCTGGGATCAGAGATATTTTGGGAGGTACTTTTATGTTATAAGTGTATGATTAATGGCACTTTACTCAGCACAATTTGATAAAATAACCAACAAAATATTCTTGATCCAATACTTTGTCTATTATTATGTTTTTTTAACATGTCTTCTGTATGTCTAAGTGTATTCAATACTTTAACGGGGCAGTGCGGTAGCCTAGTGGTTAAAGCGTTGGCTCGTCACGCCGAAGACCCGGGTTCAATTCCCCACACGGGCACAATGTGTGAAGCCCATTTCTGGTGTCCCCCGCTGTGATGTTGCTGGAATATTGCTAAAAGCGGCGTAAAACTAAATTCAGTCAATACTTTAACGTTAGTAACACGTTCAGATTCATTCCATTACCTGATTTCAATACTCCTAGACTCACTAATTTGGTTGACACATCCCATTGTGTAGATAGATG